AGAAGGCTGGTTTAGCCCCAAATTCTAGCTCGGTCGCGGTTGAGACTAACAGAGGCACTATTACGCAGACTTAGTGTGAATTGTTAGCTCGGCTGAGTTAAAACAAAAGGTGGTTTGACTTGTTAAAACTAATGGCATAACGTGAAGTGTTAGTTCGGTTGAATGGTCTGCCTAGAATGACATCAACTACAAACGACTTTTTAGTTCGATTATACTATGATTTTGGATCAAAATCAGTGTTTTTCAGTTTGTTCGTGACAAGCCAGAGGTTTTATTACACGAAAGAAAGGTATGTGTTTTGAAAAAACACACAAAATACATGTATTGTAAAAGCAAATACGAAGACAACAAAAACAAGGTAGATTTGAGTAAACTTACCAGGTTAAGAGGAAGAAATCAGAGATGGAAGCAACGGCAATGAAGAACACGAACTCAGCAAATTCAGGGTTGAAGAAGCTCAGGAACGAAAGAGAGAGATGATGAAATAAATAGTGTGGTGAGTGATTCGAAAAAAAAGAGTTTTGTTTTGATGGAAAGACCAGAGGCGGGAACTGTTCAAAATTCACGGAGTACGAAGACGGCGTGACAACTGCATTGGGCCAATCAGAGGGGGCCACGTGTCATAGGAATGAGAAGCGATTCAGTTGCTGTGATTGAAGAGACGTTTTGACCAGATAGGTACAGCCCAGTGTGAATTTAGCTCGGCTGGAAAGGCTAAAATGGTTTTTAGCCCGGCTGGAAAGGCTTAAAGGGTTTTTTACCCGGCTGGAAAGGCTAAATGGTTTTAGCTCGGTTGGAATTCTAAAATTTTTTAGCTCGGCTGGTAACAGATGATCCCTATCATGCTACGCAGATGGAATTAAGGGGCAATTGAGAGGGTAATTTATACTTATAAATTGGGCCGAGCTGGGTAATGGGCTGTTATGGGCCACATTGTGAAGGGCTGAGTAAAAAGGCCATGAAGTTACTCCGGCCCAAGAGAGGTGAAGTTACTCCGGTCCCAAAGAGTTTATGGTAAGTTTGGTCGTCACTCACAAAGTTATCCCGGTTTGGACCGGAGTATTGGTTATTCCGGTCTAGACATACCGTGGTTAGCATTAAGAAGAGCTAAGATAAGAGCAGTGAATGGAAGAGCCGAGCTAATGTTTTCTCGGTTTAGTCTGCGGCTTAGCATAGCTATGCTTACCTCGGTCGTGTTGAAGTCTGACCATGGTAGAACCATCTCACTTGGTTTATGAAATGAGGGGGGGTGTTGAAGGATAAGCATTATCTTTCAGGAGTATGAATCCTAGGAGGACTCTACATGGGGGAGTAAAAGTCCTACTAGGATTGTGCTACGTGGAACCTATAAAAGCTTACAACATCACCTATGGAGAGATAACACACAACTTTGATACACAGAGCTTTTTATCTTTGTCTATTTTGCTGACTTAGGCATCGGAGAGGTATCCAGCACACACCCGCCGGCTAGCTCACGTTTGTGTTTTCAGGGAGTAAAGCGACAACGTTTGGAAGAGCGCAAACTTGATCAACAGGATTATACGAGAAGGTTTATTTCTTTCCCGTACATTTTCTATATTTTAAAATTAAAAAAGAAAAGAAAAGAATTCAATACATTTTTTGTGTGCGCTGATTACAGAATTAATTTTAATCCCCAATTCCAATACTAAACAATGCACCCCACTAGTTTGAAGTTCTTATTAGCACCAAAGATTCACAAGGAAAAGTTTTAAAATGAAATAATATTGTATATGTTTATAAAAATTTTAAAACTAAAGAAAAATTTACTCGGTATATGTTTTTGTTTAAGAAAATGTAAATAATTTTCAAAATAAACTAAATTCTAAAAAACAAAAATTGTTTTCATTTATTTTTAAAATAAATTTTCATGACTTTTTCTCTCTCCCTCATTCCTATTGTCTACCTCGTCACATTTAGCCACTGCAATAGACGACCCTCTCTAACAATCACCACCATCTCTTACTACTAATAGTCATCATTTGATTACCATTAGTAATTGTTGGTAACAAATTTTGACTATTGAGAATCACATTCATTCACCACCTCATCCTATTTTCAAAATAAATTTTTTAAAAACATGTTTTTAGGAAACATGCTTTTTTAAAAATAGAAACATATTGAAAATAATAAATTTTAAACACAAACAAATTGTTTTTATTGGATCAATATTACATTATCACACTTGACCTACCAATTTAAATTGTCCCCCCTCGATACCTTGTAATGTACCAACATGACATATGGACCTACACAAAAATCATGACTTTCAATTATTTTTCATGTAATGTATGCTCTCTAAAATATTCATGAAACTTACACCTCGTGGCCAAAGCAATAATATAAAATTGGGTGTATCATATTTTTACATTCTTTCAAATTTTATTTTAGTCTTTTATTTTCTAATTTTAACATTTAAATCTTTAATCTTTTGAACCAAAAAAAAAAACTTCAATCTCTTGTGTTTTGATGTGATAAGTGAAAGTTAGAGACTAAAAAGTATATAATTTTGGCATATAATTAAAATTTAAGTAAAAGTTAAATGTTGAAAAATGTAATTCATATAATTTTTTGTCTTTAATGTGTCTAAAATGTGCAATTTTTGTCTAAATTATAAAGAATAAGTGACGAATATATCATATTAAAATATAAAGAAGATTATAAAAAAATAAAAATAAAAATAAAAATCTTAAGGTTTGATCTTTATAAGAAAATAATTTTTTAATTTTGTCAATTTAAAGTTTAAACTTTTGACTTGTTTTCAATTTAAACTATTTGCATATTTTTATTAAGTAAAAACAATAGAAAAATAGTATTTTACTCATTAAAGTCAATAAAAAAGTTAATGTAGACATTTTGGTGTCGATTGGTAACACTTAAATGTATACTTACATTATGTTTAATAATTAAAATATTATTTTTTATCGATTTTATTTAATCAAAATAAGCAAAATAAAGGTCAAACTTAATTTCTTTTTTCTTGTAATTTTTTTTCTAAAATATAACTTTTTTTTGCAAAGATAGTGTTACCGTGTTAGTACTTAGATTACAATATAAGTCAATGTCTGTCTGTAGATTTAAATATGAAATTTCACCCTGATACCTAAGACCATCTTCAACATTGTATTAGATGTTTTATCAAATTCAAATTTGATGAAAAACAGAAAAAATGTCAGCTCCAATGTTGTCATCAAAATGATATCAGATAGAAGGAGAACCAAATATTTCTTCAAATGAAGGGAGCATTTATCGTTCATCGAATTTGTAGATGATCGTTGGGCAAACATCCTCCCTGGACAATTAAGAATTTGATAAAAATTTTGAAATCAACATTGAAGTGTATCATATTAAATCAAACTTTTCATTAAATTTTTATGAACACTTGGATTAGTGCTTGGTAGGGGTGTAAATTTGGCCCGTGGGCTCCTGTCAAAATTCGGACCGCCCCACAGGCTATTAAATTAGGCAAAGGCCCATGGGGTATTCGGGCCTCGGGCCTAGGCTTAAGCTTGGGCAGAGCTTGAACAAATTTTTTTTTTTTCTATTTTTTTTACCAAAATTTTATTTTTTTTCATAAAAAATGACTCTAAGCCTCAGGCTAGGTTTTGAGTGGGCCGATGGCCAGGTCCTAAATAGGCTAGGCCCATGGACCGGCCTAAGTTTCAAAATGATGGCCCAGGCCCAAGCCCAACGTCCTAGACTGGGCTCGGATCTAGGCCTACCCTATGCCGCGGGCGGATTTTGGGCCACCCACGGGTCATGAGTCATTTTTACACTATCATTGGGTCTTCCCTAAAATATAAATTAAAGTATGAACAACATTCAATTATTATAATTGAAAAAATAAGAGATTAAAATAAAATAAGAATAAACGCTTGAGAATGAAAAAAATAAATAAATTTATTACCATAATAAAAAAATATGAAAACCGGCGATGGTACGAATGTATCAGCATTATTAAGTTTCGTTTGGTTTTAGATTTTTAGCTAAAAAAATATAAAAAGATAAAAATAGCTACATAAGTTAATAAGATAAAATATCACATCAAAACCATAATAATTACATTTTTTTCTCAAAAAAAATCAAAAAATTAAAAAAAATCAAACCAAATGAGGCTAAAGAAGTTCTAATACAAAAAAGCCAACTAAAAAAACTAACGCCTAACGTTTCCAATTTCTTCCACCACCCCTAGCACCCTCAAAAAGTAGAGCGAGAGTGAGAGGTGTTTTGAAAAATTAGTTAAAAATTAATTTTTTAACTTTTTTTTAATTATTTTGTCTTTTTATAAATAAAAAATGTAAAATAATGTGACTCAAAATAAATTAAAGACTAAAAACTAAAAGCTAATTTTTAACTGGTTGCCAAAACAATCCTTAGCCACAAAACACAAGTGTCCTCATTCCCCTTTAGAGTAATTATTGGGTGTTTAAGAATAAGATTCATAATTTTATATTAAGGTTTTATTTAAGAATAAATTATTTTAATAATTTTTTTTATTTTTTAATTGAAATATAAGATAAAAAATTTAGTATGTTTAAGATAATTTTTTATAAAAATATATGTAAAATTTTTTTTTATTTTTTATATAATTTTTATAATTTTTAATTTTTAATTTTTTTCTGTTGTCTTTGTTTTAGTGATAATGTAATTTAGAAATTTTTTTTGGCTTTACTAAAGCCGTTCTCATGTTTTGGGGCTTTGGTTTTTTTTGATTTTTTTTCATAAAAAGATAATTTTTTTTGTAAAGTTAAAAAAAATACATTCAAATAAAATATCATATTCAATTTCATAATTATTTTATTTTATTTTTACAAACATCACATTCAATCACAAAAAAATTTAACTATCATTTTAAAAACAAATTTTTTTTTTCTAATAATACATTTTAACTAAAAAAATATAAATAAAAACTAAGTTCCCAAACACCCACGTATTTATTCCCGTCTCTCCTCTTGGGAACCCACGTATTATTCCCCTCTCTCCTCTATCCTATAGATAAGCGCGCAAAGGCACACTGCTTCTGAATAAAAACAATCCTCGCTCACTGTCTTCTCTACTCTCTCTGTGTCTATCAATTCACTGTTATATGTATTGAGCTACATACATATGTATATATATATATATATATAAATAGAGAGAGAGAGAGAACGAGAAGGCCATGGATGCGTTCGCTATTCATCTGGCGATGGCGGCTTTACTCCGTCCCTCGCTCACTGTCTTCTCTACTCTCTCTGTGTCTATCAATTCACTGTTATATGTATTGAGCTACATACATATGTATATATATATATATATATAAATAGAGAGAGAGAGAGAACGAGAAGGCCATGGATGCGTTCGCTATTCATCTGGCGATGGCGGCTTTAGTCGGAGCTTCGTTCGTGGCGGTATCGGCCTATTACATGCACCGCAAAACCCTAAGTCAGTTGCTGGAGTTCGCGAAGGCGGTGGAGAGAGAAAGAGAGGACGGCGAGGAAGAGCTCGGCCGTGACGACTCGCCGGAGCATTTCAAGAAGTACGTCGAGAAGCGGCGAAGCCACGGCGGCCGGAGAAAGGGGAATGGCTATTACCGCCGTGTATCGGCATTGATGCCGGACGTTGTGGCGATTTCCGGTTATGTTGTCGATGGCGTTGAGGTCGGGTTGCCGAGGCTGCAGACGCTTCCTGAAGGTATGTGTATATCAGATTTCTGAATGGAGTGATGAAACTGTTCTGAATTTATATTCTTAGTAGCCTATGAGGAAAATGTGCAGTGAAACATGTTTCATTCAGATAATTGAATTGAAATTACTAATGATATAGCTCTGATTGAGCATTTCTATAATTCAATATTATGCTGAATTGAATTCTTATAAATGTTCCATTTTATGTGTTGTGGAAATAAAATAAAATAAAATAAATTGAAAATGTGTAGTATGTAAGTGGGCTGACAAGTGTCTGGTTTATGTGATCGTTGGATCATGAATGTTCTGTATATGTGAAGTTAGGATCAGGCTTAGTTGGATATAATTCAATTGAGTGCATGTTCATTTTTGGCATTTGGAAAGAATAGTTATAACCATTATTCTCTTTGATCTCTATTGATACAACATTGCCAGCTGTGATGTTGAAACTTTGTTTAAAATCAGGGATAATGCTGTTGAAAAGTAGCAGACATGAGTACAATACAGTTAAGTTGTCCCTTCTAAACCTTATCGGACAAGGGTGCTTGATAGGATTGATGAGGAGTTAGGATGCAGAAGCAATGAAACTTATAAGCAAAAATCGGGCTGTGATTTTTGATTTTCTAATATGGGAAATTGGGTATTCATAAAAATGAAAACTTTGACAAATACTTTTATTGGTAATAGAAAGGGCCACAACTTGCTTGCAATGGGAACCCTTTGTTTGATTGGTCTTTTTATGTAGCAACTCTAGATTGGTTTGCTTGCAATGAATATCTGGTATTCAACTTGCTATGTCTCTGTGGATTTTGCATTTACATTTTTTTTCTGGCAGTCAGATTACTTTTTCACCTTAACAATGGCAATCTTCTGCTTTAGGAAAACCTGCTGGCCATGTGGGTTCAACCAAAAGAACTGGGCATCTACTTAAACCAACTTCTCCCAAGTCTCCGGTTGCCAGTGCCAGTGCTTTTGAAAGTGTGGAAGAATCAGATGATGAAGATAATATGACTGACAATGCTAAACTAAATACGTATATTCATACTAACGGAAATGCTGTAAGTAGTTTGAGTAAACTCTCTCTCCTCCCAGGCCATTGATGCTTCAATTGACATGGTGCTGTTGCATCAATTGCACAATATTATTGCTTTCTGAAGTCCTGATTGCTCCTACCATTTTTCATTTTTTACTGCATTTGTTATTGTGTGATCTCCAAAGACTTCAATTTTGTCCTGAATTGTAGTTGAACACCTTACAATGAGCAGGGTCCAGGGTGTAATAGCATGTTCCAGGATGTACCAAACAACAATAATGCGAATGGAGAGCAAATTGCTATAGCCGCATCAAGTATGATCCGTACACATAGTGTATCTGGTGATCTGCATGGTGTTCAGCCTGACCCCGTGGCAGCTGATATTCTTAGGAAGGAGCCAGAGCATGAAATTTTTGTTCGACTTAACCTTAGCCCTAATGGTATATGCTTCTGTTTTCTCCCATTGGTGTATGTCATTCTTCTGTGCACTCATTCTATTAATACTCTTTAACTTTTGAGGGTTTTGTGTTTGATGTGTTCCAAATATTTATTAATTTTTTTTACAGAATATTTAATGAAGAAATGGTAGGTGGGAGGAGAAAATCTTCGAACTTGTTGTGTTGTTGAACTAGGTTATATTATATCTTGAGGAATTGCTAATCACATCCTTTCTGCATTAGTCTGGAACCAGTCACTTCCTCATATATTTTTCTGAAAATTGGTGCATTTTGATATTTCGTTAAGGAGAACAAAAAGTAATAAATCTGTTGAAGTGGGCAGTTTTCTTTGCTTCTAGAATAAAAAAGTGAGCTTGAGATCTATAAGCTTATAAATGGATGAATATGTTTGAATGCTTTCATTTGATCCTTATTGGGATATTTCTAATTTTATTTTCTTTTTTCCCTAAGAGAAGGGTCTAGAGAGGTAAAAAAAACTATAAATGGACCAAAATAGCTTATAATGCTGCTTTTTGGTGACAAGGTTCTAGATTTTGAGTGCAATTCTTTAATTCTGAAGGACAAGGAAAAACCTTTTGGTTTCTAAAAGAAGAAAAAGATGTTGAACTTAATATCTAAGAAGGTTTTCTATGTCGTTAGTATGTTACACACAAGCAGCTCCGACATAGACACGACATGACAAGGAAATGTTGACAGGATAATTTTCAAAACATGTCGGACACAACACATTGGGGACACACATAATAAATAGTGTACATCGTTATTATCAAATTGAGAATTGCATCGTGAATCACATGCCCCTAATTTTAAGAACCATGAATCTAATTGAATCAAGAATTGTGAGATTTAAAATTATAAAAAAATGATGTTTAACAATCTTGTATAAAATAAATTGGGCTTGGTACATGTTGTACAATGGTTCTTATAGAAGGACATGATTACATCATCTAATTAGGAAGACATTATTGTTTTCGTAGCAAGATATGTGGGTCCATATCCCATAAACCATAAAATTATATAAAAACTAATATTTTTGAAAAGAGAATATATAAAAGCAAAAGGAAAAAGTAAAAAAGAAGAAGAAATCAACTAGGTCTAAGCATTTATAAAAATAGAGGTTAGGAGTTTCAATTCTCGTTGAATCCACATATTTGATTGGGTATGGGGAATACCTTTCAACAAGCAGAGGCGATATTGAGCATTCCTCATGATCTCCTCCATGACTGTTTTGGCATCCTAGTAAAGGTTCTTGCAAAGTGTATAGTTCCTCTTCTTCCACACAGTGTACACTGTCACTGCAAGTAGACATTGGCATAACACCTTTCCCAACATTTTGCCTATATACAATTTATAGTTTCCCAGCTGATCATACCATCCCAACGCGAACAAGGCCATTGCACACTGCACTTACAGCAAAGTTGGTCCCAAATGCTCCAAATAAAAGGGAAATCAAAGAAAAGTGCTCATGGTTCTCCACATTAGACCTGCAGAAGACACAACTTATAGAGTCTATTTCGTGGTTAATGCTAAATAGTAGCCATGACTGTCAAGAGTCCACAACACCATATCATCTCTACCAGCTGGGGGAGCCACAACAAATTGCGTCTCACGTTTTAGCTCAATCAGTTCCATAGAATTTGTGCACAATCATTGCCAACAACCCTTGCAGATGATGGCGAACACTTTTGCCTCCCTGCCAAGCCCAATCAAACCGCAACAAAAGTTCTATTACCGTTACCCATGCGGTGCTTTATGTAAGGCCTCACACATTCTCGCAGCCTCCTTAATTTCCTCTAAGCCCAGTAGCAATCACTAGGTATCTTAACATTCTGAATGGAATAACTTTTTAATAAGTTAAAGGACTGCCATTTCACCCTAAGAAGAGCTCTTCTTGTCACAGATTAAGAACCACAGATGTTTTTATTCCAGTCGCAAAGGTCTTTGAAACCCAATCCTCCTTTCTTAAGGGGACAACACATAGCAACCCATGCCACTTTAGCACCAATGGTATCATGGTCAACACCTTTCTAGAGGAAATCCCTCAGAATATTCTTGATACTAGCAAGTACCTTCTTTAGGGCCACCCCTTTGAAAAATAGTTATTGATGACAATGATTTTAAGAACAAAACTTTAGGGCATTGTATTGGATGGAGTTTGATCTCATGGCCAATGTTTTTATTATTTTGATTTTTTCTCCCTCTAATTATTATTAGAGGCACCGCCATCACTTGAGGAAGCGGATGTCTATAGGAATCTGCAAGCTTGCCTTGAACTGCGACGAAGTTACGTATTTAGGGAAGTTATTGCTCCATGGGAGAAAGAAGTTATATCCGATCCGAGCACGCCGAAGCCTAATCCAAATCCATTTGATTACACCTCTCAGGGAAAATCCAATGTGAGTTTATACTTTCAATTTTTTGTTGTTATTGTTTTCTTGAATTCTGGACCACAGTTTACAGAGGCTTGTTTCCAATGTTAGTTTTCTGGCCAATGACATATTGAGTTGTCGTGCAGCATTATTTTGAGATGGAAGATGGAGTAGTTCACGTTTATGCAAATAAAGATTGTAAGCTGCCAAAAATTTTGATTACTTGATCCTTATTGTTCAATTTGATTAGTTCAGCTCTGTTTGACTTAGATTCTTTGTCTGTTCTCCAATTATTTTCGTCTCTTTCACAGCAAAAGAGAAGCTTTTTCCGGTTGCTGATGCAACAACCTTTTTCACCGACCTGCATCACATTCTTAAAGTAATAGCAGCTGGGAACATCCGAACATTATGTCATCATCGGCTGGGTCTTTTGGAACAAGTAGATCTATTCATTCTTTCTTTCCTTTTATTCCTTTAATTAAATGTATAAGTTTATTATGTTGAGAAGTACTGGCATGATGTATAATAAATGCTTATCTGGACATCCTTTCAGAAATTCAATCTTCATTTGATGCTTAATGCGGATAGGGAGTTCCTAGCTCAGAAAAGTGCACCGCATCGTGACTTTTATAATGTCAGGAAAGTTGACACACATGTTCATCACTCAGCTTGCATGAACCAGAAACATCTTTTGAGGTTTATAAAGTCAAAGTTGAGGAAGGAGCCAGATGAGGTAATGGCTTCGATCTGTCTGCTTATGCTTCCCAATGCACTTTTTCCCTGCTTGTTCTGATTATAAGTTTTGAGCAGTGAACTTTGGACTAGTTATGTTTTCTAAGTTGGGTTTCTAGACACATAGGAATTGTTGTACTTGACACTTATCAAATGTAAACAAATCTTTGCTTGCTTAACTAATGATAAAAATTTCTTTAGTGAAGATGATGTGATTAGCAATTTCACTTTTAAATCTGAAGCTTTCTTCTATTTATCAAAAAAAAAAAAAAATCTGAAGCCTTCTTCTGCTTGTCTTCAGGTTGTTATATTTCGAGATGGGACATATTTGACATTGAAAGAGGTTTTCGAGAGTTTGGATTTAACTGGGTAATGAAGTACTCCTATAGAAATTTTCAACCGAAGATATGAATATCATCCTCCACTCTGTGATTATTATCTCCATTTTTTTTTTTTTGTTTTTCAGTTTGACTGGTCATGAGATGCTTGTAATAATTTTTATTCATATGTATCTAAACAGGTATGACCTGAATGTCGACCTTTTAGATGTTCATGCTGACAAGAGTACCTTTCATCGTTTTGACAAATTCAACTTAAAGTATAATCCCTGTGGTCAAAGTAGGCTAAGGGAGATTTTCCTTAAGCAAGATAACCTTATCCAGGGTATGTACTGTTTGTTTCCTCAGTCATAGGGTGAGATGCTGAAGTTAAAGCTTTAGAAATGATTTATTTCATGCTATATATGTTTTATTCCCTGGACTTCCAGTAACTGCCTTGCATCTTAGTTATCTTCATTTTGAAATCCAATATATAAGCTTGAGTAGTTTGAAACAGTTCTATGTTAATAATAAGTTGTGGTTGAAGAACTACTGACAAATATGATAGCAATTGTGCTGTGTGGCAATTGATTATACTATGTCGCAATGAATTCTATGGCACTATGCAGCAGAGACACTGCTATGGAAGAGCCGTGTTGATGGCCAACACTTTGTCAGAATGGTCACTTTTCATGTCAATGTTAATAATATATTTCTTTTGGTTGGTCTTAGAACTTTGTTCTTCTCATATGCTATTATTAATTTTTTATATATAGTTTAATTATGTACAACAGGTCGTTTCCTGGCTGAGCTGACAAAGCAAGTTTTTTCAGATCTTGATGCAAGTAAATATCAGGTGAATTCTTCTTATTTTTTTTAATGGATATATTCACTACCAGATTGTCTTAGATTTTATGAAAATTTGCTTTCTGCATTTGTCTCTGTTGTTTGCTCAGATAGTGGGGATGAACGCTGAATATACATAACTTGATTCACATCATTGCAACAATTCACCTTTCCTGTTATTTTATTTTAATTTTTAAAATTGTTTTCTTTCCCTTTTCATGTTTCTTTGAGTTTTTTAATTTTTTTCATTCTTTGAAGGGTTTGTGCACGAGGGTTATGAATTTCCCTTCGTATTAAATGCAGATGCTCATTTACGACAACTTGAATTAGAGAATTTAACGAGTTATTAGAATATTTGGCACATAATTTTGTTTCAAAATTATGGTTTCCTCTATTCCTAGAAATTGGTTAGGCATTACTTTGTATTGTGCCATTTTCATATTCTCTTGCCAATTATGTTTTCTGCATGCTCTAAGCTTGATCTGGAAATCAATACCAAAATGAGAGTGAAATGTAAATTGTGTTAGGTCTATATGTCTTAAAAAATCTAGTATTTGAATTCTTTGTGGTATAGGTCGATATGTCTTCTTCAACAGCACCAATCCAATTAAGAGCTTGCTTTGGCTGAAAATTTTCGTTGGAGATTTACGTAAATTTAATGTGGGCTGTTGGGTGGTGGTACAATGGTTAATGCTTGGGTTGCCAAGCGTGGAAACTTGGGTTTGAGTTTTAAAGCTTCCACTTTGTGCAAGTAATGTCAAGGTTAGGTCCATATGCAGTTCACCTCTCCTAGCATCACTTCTTAATGGAGACTAGCATTGAGGGGTGGTCTTTTTATATTTTCATTAATTTTTATGTTCTTTCAACTATCTTTAAATAGTGTACTTTCGGAAGTATGGATGTTATCTTGATGCCCAACTTTTGAAAATTTATCCCATGCCCGGTTTAAGTTATAATATACTCACCTTCTCGTGACTTTATTTTATGGGTCTTTTTTGTTTGTTCATCATTTTATTAGTTATTTCTGATGGTTCTTCCGTGTTAAATTGTTGAAGTTTCTGTTGTTACAGATGGCTGAATACAGGATATCGATATATGGTAGAAAGATGAGTGAGTGGGATCAAATGGCAAGTTGGATAGTGAATAATGAATTGTACAGTAATAATGTTGTTTGGCTTATTCAGGTATTTGATAGAAATTCTGTTATTTAAAATTCATCTTTTCTAATATGTAGTTATGGTTTTCTATTTTATTTTTGTGAGTGGGGGGAGGGGGTAGAAGAAAGGTTGCTTTTCATGGTGCTTTATGTTTTTTCTCTCTCAAAAGCTACTAGGTTTCTTGTGTGTATCTCAAAAGAAAACCTAACCCAAGTGATTATAGGATTTTCAAGAATCATAAACCAATTTGGACTAAAATTCATGTGCTCATTGAGGGGGTTTTGAGTGCAGCTCGTAATACTATTGTAGGCCAGTGGAATGAAGCATATGTAAAAATTAATGAAAGGACCAAGGGTTTGTTCTGAAGCACTGATTTTAAAGGAAGATCCTTTAACTTGAAGATTGGCACCACTTCTTCTGAATGTTCTTCTGAAGCTTTCTAGATTTTTCTTAATGGGTTTAAGATTTCGGAGTCATTGTTGCTTATGTCTGGATAGGTGAATTTTCTGTTTTATTTTAATTTGTTATTTTTAGTTTAGTTTACTCAACAGAAAGGTTCTTTTAGTGCTATCTTAAAATCATGGTTTTTCTCTTCTAGCTCTGCTTTTCCAAAGGCTGGAAATGCCTATATTTCATAACGTTAATTGTTCTAAGATAGAAATGCTTTCACAAATTAAAAGCATTCAAATTTCCTCTTTTTCCAGCTTCCGCGATTGTACAATGTGTACAAGGAAATGGGAATTGTGACATCATTTCAGAACATTCTTGATAATATCTTTCTTCCTCTGTTTGAGGTTACTGTTGATCCAGATTTGCACCCTCAGTTGCATGTTTTCTTGAAACAGGTATGCCTTCTCTCCTTTATATAGATTTTTCATTATATCAGTAAATCTTTACTTTGTGCATGTCCAGAAGAATCGTCAAATTGGAAAGATTACTATTGTGTGTTGAACTGAAAAATCATTGTTGGGCTGTTTACTTTTACTTGTGCTCTGGAACAAAGTTTTAGGAGTAAGTTTTTTATTTTTTTCCCCCACTAATCAGAGTTCTTTTGTATCACTTCTTTCTTTGATGCCTGTTTATGTTTCCTTATTTAAATAGAGTAAAAATCTTTTTTTTAGGCTCCGTTTGTTTTGACGTAAAATATTTGAAAACCGTTTTCCATGTTTACTGACATAGGCAAAACAAGGGATGAACCGTATTCATCATTCGAGTATCGTAAATAAATTTCATTAAAAGCCCAAAACTGATTTACATTTTGGAAGTCTGTAAGTTGTTTTTCCAAGCCGCTCGACTCAGGATGTCTTCAGCTAGTTAAGTGTTGATTGGTTGGTTTGTAGTTTATGATGGATGAGGGATGAGAAGTGCTTACTTTGTTATGGAACATATTATTCAAATGTCAACCAACAATGGGAATTGAAAAGAAATATATATTTTTATGCAAAATAGAAAAATAGTTTACATCGTAAAATCTTTTAATCCAAATAAAAACAGCCTTAATGTTTTTTTGTTTTGATAGAGAAAATAGTTTTTATATAGAAATTGTGAAGTACCACTTTTATTTTGGCCATTACTGAGTAGAATTAATTTCCAGCAATATTAAGCAAGAATGACGGCTAGGTTTTGGTCAATACCCCGAGTCTCAACTTTTTAGATGTACAAAGTAGTGTGATATATAGGAATGGATCCATACGTGACATATACGCCTGTCATGGTTATAGTTGAATGGGTGAACTTGTTACATATTGTAATCCAAAAAAGGGCGTTCTAGTTCACAATGTATTCATGTTATTACGAAGATAATACTGCATAAGCAAATTCTACTTTATTATTGTTACGAAAGTGAAAGATATGTATCACAATCTGGTCCTAGTCCCATGTTCTAAAATCTTGGTGTTGGACAAATCTGAAGACAGAAACTAGACCTAACATGTATATTTGAGTACATGCAATGTTTATGAAACCGCAATCATATGCTGTTGTGTTCATTTTAAGTTGTATTCTGGCTTTCTTTCTGAAGGACTTAACATTACTGACTATGATATTTGTCCCTGTCATCTGTTTGAGATTTCAGGTTGTTGGGTTGGATTTGGTGGATGACGAAAGCAAGCCTGAAAGACGCCCCACAAAACATATGCCCACACCGGCTCAGTGGACTAATATATTCAATCCTGCATTCTCATACTATGTGTACTACTGTTATGCAAATCTTTACACTTTAAATAAGGTGAATTGCTTACCTTTGAAAATAACCATATAGAACTATTCTACAAAATGCTAGCAAGACATCAAATTTGGATTCTGCATGCTTTCTTCTCTCAAAGAAAAACAGTAGTCATTATCTTGCCTCATTGCCTCATCCATATCAATACTATTGTTTTGATAGCCATCACCATCCTCAAAAATGAAGATTTTATGGGTTTTGTGTCTGTTTGGTCCTCCATGTTCTAATTTTGTCAGTTCAGTTCCTAAAATTTCTAATTTGAGTCTAAATGGTTCAATTAATAGAAATTATGAAAATTTATTTTTAAATTAAGACACATCTTGGAGTGTTATTTCCAAGACTGTCCAAGAAGTTCAGCATCCAACATGGGCACGGCTTCTCCCCACTACTTAAGTTTCTTCCACATGTCTTGACAAGTACTGGGTCTAGTAGTAGCTGTAGATCTGCTTAGGTTGCCTTTCTTTTTATTCCGATCCTGGTGTCATATGCCAATTATGTTTGTTGTGTTTTTTTAAACAATAGATACTTGTTTCTTGACATGACACAGATAGATAATCCTCTGCACTTCATTTGGTTCTTGGTTCTTGCAGAAATGTTTAAAATGCTTGAGAAATGGAGCTTCATTCATCGTTTTTTTTTTGTAGTTTGGGATGTTTGCAAATTTTCCTGTTCCATTTCCAGTGTCACTAACAAATTTGTTCAGTTCTAGGTGCTTTTTCCCTTATATTTCATTGCATCAAATTCTGAAAGTTTTAATATTACATCTCAGCTTCGTGAGTCAAAGGGCATGACAACTATTAAATTCCGTCCACATTCAGGGGAGGTATTGTTGGAATTTCCATTCAACTTGGTTATGATTATCAGATTATATTATATGAAATGCTCATTTATATTATTATGTTCAGGCCGGCGATATCGACCACCTTGCTGCAACATTTCTTACGGCTCAGAATATTTCTCACGGAATCAATTTGAGGAAATCTCCTGTACTTCAATATTTGTATTACTTGGCTCAGGTATAACAAAGAGCCGACTTTTTTTTGTTAGATTCTGGCATGTTGAGTGTATGACATTTCTAGTTATCTATGTTTATTTGTTGGTCAACAGATTGGTCTGGCCATGTCTCCTCTGAGCAACAACTCCTTATTTTTGGACTACCATCGAAACCCTTTACCTATGTTTTTCTTAAGGGGCCTCAATGTTTCCCTTTCTACTGATGATCCGCTACAAATCCACTTGACCAAAGAGCCCTTGGTGGAAGAATACAGTATTGCTGCATCTGTAAGTGGCCTCTCACCGTCTCTTTGCACTACTGATACACGAGGTAATGTTCAAGTAGATTAACTCCTCTCTTACAGGTTTGGAAGTTGAGTTCATGTGACCTATGTGAAATAGCCCGTAACTCAGTCTACCAATCAGGTTTCTCACATGCTCTGAAGGTACACAATCTTATCCAAAAAAAGTATAAGAAATTACTGACAGAAAACTCTGTCCAATCTCTACTTTCACCTGGTGGTGGATCTGCTTCAATCCTCTCTTTTGGGTGGTACCAGCAACAAATTGTGTGGTGTCTGGCGTGATTAGTTATACAAATGACAAAAAAGAACAAGAAAAAAAAAAGAGGATCCGTATTTTTAGGGCTGTTGCATGATTCAAGGAAAGTTTGTATTAGCATGTGGACAAGAAATAGTCATAAATATTTAGTTTAAGCTGAATTATTAAGGAAATAGCCTGTTTGAACTAGATCAGGTAACTTTGAAAATCAGTCACCTAGTTTTGTCCTGTCTATTGAACCCGCTAATGGATTATCTCAAAAAAACTCTCATAGTCATTTGCTTTTGACTTTATTTACATCCTAATAAGGAACGTGATGGGCAGAAGAAGAGACTGTCCAGAAGTTGATTATTTGCGATTGCACTATCCATTCTAGGCATAATATTCTTCATTCTTACATTGTTTGGTAGGTTCTCTGTTGACTAGACAGTTTGGTGGATTCACTAGTCTATGTTGCTATGTAGAAGCAACCGTAAGCTACATGTGGCTAGATAGAGACTGAATTTTGCAGAATTTTTTGGTCTACTAACTCAGTTCTTATTTAAGTCGACCCCAAATATTTTGGACAATGTCGATGTCATTGATTGTAATGTGGATTTTCTTTAGAAATTCAGATTTTTCTCCTTTTGAGGAATTTATGTACTTTTTTTTATTATTATGATTTATGTCGATACTTTCCACCTTCCAAATGTTGTATCTGAGCAACTAAATTTTGTGTTCTTAGTCCCACTGGATTGGGAAGGAGTATTACGAGAGAGGACCTAATGGAAATGATATTCACAAGACAAATGTGCCACATATACGGCTGGAATTCCGTGATATGGTATGTGCCAGTTTTATGGAACCTTCATGTCTGGTTTATTAAATGCTATTGTACTCCTTTTTGTAAAGTTCTTTTTTACTTGAAAGGTTCAGTTTGAAACTTCATGGCATTAGTAGTCTGATAATTGTTGATAACAGGATACATTAGAGAATGGATTTCATGCCTCTTTACCTATCTTGTTAACTTCTATGATAAAACATGTTGAAAATCAGAATCATGTAGAATCAAGTTGAATACATGAGTTGTTCATATCCTTTTCTAATTTTGTTTTCTGCTGGAACAAACCTAGCCTGAGAGATTAACAAGTAACCAGTGAAACTTTACTATTGCAGATATGGAGAGAGGAAATGCAAAAAGTTTATCTGGGGAATGCCAATTTTCCTAAATACAGAGACCCATAATGCGCTTAGCTTGTACATTTGCAGATTCACCATTTCTTACATTTCCAGAGGTAGTTATCAGAGTCTTATTTTGTTACTCTCTTATTAGTTGGTTAGTTTGGGGATTTGGGGTTGCTGCCGCTCCGCCAAAATGGTGCTATTTTGTGCTTTAAAATGTGAAATTGTGCCGTTTGGGGATGCAGCAAGCAGTGACTTATGTTGGGGATTTCTCCTATAATTTTGTTTCCAATAGAAAGATGCTTCATTATACACTGTGAGTTGTAACCAAGAATCAGTCCTACGGTGCAGGGCAGGGCAAAAAGCAGAGGCCATACCATGGAGATCAGTGGCTGATGTAAATGAAAATGCAGTCTTGATGTCTTCAGCATTTCAGGAAGAGCTTTGGGCCACAATAAAAGACTAGAGAGCCAGCTAGTTTCAACCTGGTACATATAAGCATAAAACTACGCTAAGTTATTTTAGTTTTTAAATGTTATCAATGACAAAATAATACATCATTAGTGGATTTTGTATTATAACGATTATCATCGCCAAGTAAAATTTATTTGCTTAAATTGTTCGATGTTTTTAGTTTTATGAATTGAAGCTTTCTAAACGTTTTTGTGTTTTTAAAATTACTCATATTGTTAACTGCTTTACAAGATAACTACTAATAATTATCAAATTCAATCTATCTGCTTCATCCATCAAATCATCAAAAAATGTTTTTAATTCATCTCAAAATTACACAAAATCATGTCAAAAAATAGTGTTTTTCGGTACTATTTTTTTTTTTAACAAAATAGTTTTTAAGATTTTTGATATATTTTGCTTAAAGCATGTATGGATTATAGAAAATTAAATCACTCAAATTCAACTACTATTTGGTCTGTTAAAAGCTCATTCAAGATTTAACTAATTATATACATAAAATCAAAATTAAACACATTTTAAAACTTGTTAAGTTTTCAAACTAAACTTACTACTCACTCGAGCCAGCTCAGCCTAGCTACAAGCGGTTATTACTCATAGATTAATCGCAGACTTTCAACTCTATGTGTGTACAAATTGCAAAAGTTTATAAGCAAGCGGATGGAAACGGGATGATCCAACTCATTCAAACCAGGGTTCCACATTCTTAGGATACATGCTACAAGACTAACCAAAATGTCATTGACTTTAATAAAAGACTACTGATCCATTAACATAAAATTATGTCCATATCTCCCAAAATTACAATACCGCCCCCGCCCATCAGAAGTCAGAGCAGGATGAAACCAAAAGAGAGCTCAAAACTCTTATACAATCTATCTGTAGAACATGGGTTCTAACTACAGCCAAGAATCACTGATTTTTAAAATTCTGCAGCAAAAGCAAGAAACATGTTTAGACAGATCATGATCAATGACAAACTTAAAAACTCAGTAACCAATACCAGCACTCTCACCTCAAAATTTTTCGACAAATCTTTCATCTGATCAGCAAGTTCTTGCTTCTTCTGGGCAGCTGAAACAATTATCCAATAACAACATTAGCATTGTCTTCAACACTGTAGTGTACAACAAAGAACTATTATTGAATGGAAATGAAAAAGTAAATAATTATATACCCGTATTAGAAATATTCTCAATCGTCTTTGATGTCCTCACAGTGAATCTCTGGAATGCAGGGCTGCAAAAACAACAGAACAAGATGAAATTAGCAAACCCCCCTAGTTTATTTGTTTATCCGTTGATTATTAAATCCTGCCTCTCTACATGTGCACATTCTCTTCTATGTAGATTCAACAGAAATATATCGGATTTCGAACTAAAGGTTAATATATGAAAAAAGACATGAAAAGGGAATTGCCAAAATACACTCAGCAGTGTGGATGGCTAAACCACAATTTAGCTTGCCGAAAAGACAACAAATACGGCTAACCTTGAATGGCAAAGTCGGCATCAAATAGGTCCTGTAGCCAACCAAGGCAACAGGTAATCAGCCTAATATCAACTGCCATATTGGCATGGAAGACTCCTACTGAAAAACTGAACCAACTAACCCTAAGAAAGCCACCTGACACATTATGCAAGAGCAGCATGCCAAAGCAACGTTGGTGAAGTCCTCATCGGAATGTGAGAGCTGACACATCCAAGCAAGAGCATTGAGGATAGTCCTCATGTGCTCAAACATGGTCCAGGAGAGAGAAAAGGTGTTTATCGCAAACCAACCCACCTCTATAACTAGGGAAGGAACAATGATTGAAAGGTATGTGAAAATATATCCTCTAAGGTCCCGTTTGATTGTCCGGATTGGATATAAAGGTTTGAGAAGGATATGTAATACCTAAGGATAAAGATCAGATATAATATGTTGTAAGATATGAGATTAATTATATATAATGTGGGGTCACTTATATTATGTTTGGTTTAAATAGGATATAAGATGGGATAAGAGAAAGTAATTAATTTTGACATTTGGATAAAAGATTCTCTATATCTGACGGTGGGAGATATACAATACCATAGGGGGTTGGTATTGCGTACCCCCCCTTCGGGGCATATACCATCCGGACTCCCTATATCTGGAGCAATCAAACACGAGATATAAGAAGACAAGAAAACATTTGGGACCCACCTCATATTATATCCGGTCTCCCCTCATATTATATCCGGTCTCCCCTCATATCCGCCCCTTATATACCCTTAACAAGGAAAGGAGCTAACTTAGTCATCAGAGTGCTCCCCTGGCCAAACTTCCAGACAGTTACTCGGGTGGTTTGATTCTTGGGCATGAAATACAATCATGACCTTAGTCTCACTTTGGGAAAGAAGGAGCTAGAAATCATCCCACCACAAGAATTTTTAGGTTAATTGCAAATCATGAACAACTTCTTCCATTAATATGGCTATGGTCAATTCCACAATAAGTACAAATCTATCGAGTTATCATATCAATACTATACACCCGTTTGGATTAGGTGATTTGGGAAGGAAAAAAAAAAAAAACCTTCTCTTGGTTCATATCACCTATTTAGATAAGTAAAGAGGAGAGAAATGACCATTTCTCTTATAACCCTCATTTTGAATCTCTCCAAAAGTGGAGAGAAATTGGGAGAGAAAAGAAATCAATAAATTACTGCTTTTTGATCTTTTTGATAATACCAAAACTATCCCTTTAGATATAGAAGCAATTAAAAAAAAAAAATTAACACCTATATTAAAATGTTATTTTGGTAATATATTATGAAAGGATTTCTTTGCTTTTCTTTTATGTAGTTTAATCGAACAAAATAGGAGAGAAATCATCCTCTTTTCTCTCGCTTTCTTTCCTATTTATCCAAACAAGAGGGAGAGAAACCAATTTATGTAATCATTTCTTTTCTTCTCTCCTCTCTTAAGTTCACACATACATGCATGCAACTTTCTCCACATAACCCAACAAGTGCAACAACAATTGTACTCATACCAACTACTTGATAGACAATTAAAACAGGGGGAGGAAAAAAAATTATTTTTGTTCAAAACAACCAAAACAACCACATCCCCACAAAAGATTTGGATAATCCTCAGTGACATAAAATTCTACTAAAATAAAAATCACTTGATAACAAGTAATAACTAACAACAACACTATCTTAATCACAAGTATATATATTACAAATGATCGAAGGGATTACCTATTTGCAAGTCCATCCACAACGACCACATTGACGAGGTATGATATGACTGCATGAAATTCCCTCCCGCCATGATCGGACCTTAGGTAGTGTATATATCTTCTCACAAATTCAAAAAATAATTAGGAAAAATTAGCAGTAAAAGCAACTAGATTTCATGATTCGATTGCAAAGATTACAAGAAATTTCAAGTCAGAGTTTCAAAATTTTAAAGGGTTTTAGAGAATTAAATTCCAAGAAGTGATGTGAGAGATTCAATTTCAAGTGTTAAGTGAAAAACTATGCCGAAGCGGAAAACCCCAGCTTCTGCTTCTGCATCTGCTTCTGTTTCTGGAACCCCCTCCAGAATTGGGGAAAAAACTTGCAACGGCCGAGATTTGTCGGGTTTATCACCCAGTTTATTCGGGTTTGGCCTGTCATCGCAATTTGAGATACTGTTTGGACTTCACATATCATTTTCAAATTAATTTTGATGATTTATTTATTTTTAAAATTTATTGAATAAAATATTTATATAAAAATTAAGATGATTATCAATAATTATAGGTTTGAATCATATTTATTTTTTAAAAAATATACGACAAATATAATTTTAAGAATAATTATTTATTTTTTATATTATAAATTTGATTCAAATATCTACTTATCGATTATCTTATTTTTTAAATGAATATTCTTCTTAATAAGTCTTAATGTGACAAGTATAATGTGATACTCTATTGTGGCAGATATTAATGTAGCATTCTAAAAAATTTAAAAACTCCTTAGTTTATTTTTTTTAAAATGTGATAATGTAACGGATATGATTTGACACTCCAAAAATTTTATTTCAAAAAAAATAAAGGGCTTGTTTGGTTTGTTTTTGTAGAGTAGTTTTTTAGATAAAAAGTACGAAAACTTATTTAGTTTGTTTTTTTTTAGAAATAGTTTTGGAAAATAGTTTTGGAGAGAGAGTTTTAAAAAAAGTGATTGATTTGATGTGTATGAGAGAGTGTGATTTTGAAAAGTAGATAGCCAAACAAAATTTTGAGATTTTTTTTGAAAAAATTTGTTTGGTTTGATCACTCTTGAAAATTTGTTTATAGAGAATTTTTCTCAAAATTTTTTCTGAAAAACAAATCAAACAAGCCCAAAAATTCTTTAGTGCTCTTTTTCTTAATGTGATAACATGGCAAATATGATGTGACACTTCAAAAAATAAAAACTCTTTAATGTACTCTTTCCTAATGTAACAACGTGATAGGTATAATGTGACATTTTAAAAAAAATAAAAACTCCTTAGTGTACTTTTCTCAAACATGACAACGTGACGAATATGATCTAACACTATAAAAAAAATTAAAAACTCCTTAGTGCATTTTTTTCCAAATATGACATGTGACACTCTAACGTGGCGAGTATGATGTGACATTTTACAAAAAATTAAAAACTCTTTAGTGTACTTTTTTTTAAATGTGACACTCTAACGTGACAGGTATGACGTGACACTAAAAGATTCTTTAGTGTATTTTTTTTAAATGTGTCACTCTAACATAGCGGGCAAATAAGTTATTAAACATCCAAAAAGACTAAGGGGTGGTTTGGGATGTTCTAAATAAGTGTACTTTTTGACTTTTCATAAAAAAGATGTGTATAAAAGTAGAGAGAAAATATTGATTGATGTGACCCAAAAAAGATAAAAAGATAGACTAAAATAGTGTATGCTAAACAACCCCTAAATAGATCTCAAAAAAAATATAGGACTATATGGATTATAAGTCCAAAATATGAGATTCATTAGTCAATCTCCCTTAAAAATTATCAATAATTTTTATCTAAAAAATGATGTGTGATTTAAAATGTAATTATTGTAATTACATTTATACGATACTTTTCTAATTGTTTTTCTAGTTAATTTTTTGGGAAAATTTATTCAGAAATTTTTATTGATAAACTTTCCCATTGATAACAAATAAACTTTTGGGGGTAGCGAAAATAGGCGTTGTTGTCACTAAAAATAAATGAACACTTATTAAAAAATAATTAAACAGATACTTAGGGTATGTTTAGTTTGAGTTTGGGAGATGAATTTTAGAGATAAAAAGTACAAAAAGTTATTTGATTTGGTTTTTTTCAAAAAATGTTTTAAAATATTATTTTGAGAGAGAGTTTTGGAAAAAGTGATTGATTTGATGTGTATGAGAGAGAGATTTGTTTGAAAAACTTATAAACCAAACAAGTTTTGAAAAAAAATTTTAGAAAAATTTGTTTTGTTTAATTACTTTTGAAAACTTATTTGTAGAGAATTTTTTCTAAAAATTTTTGGGAAACACAAACCAAACAAATCCTCAATTTTTTTTATGCAATTTATAATAACATGATAACTAAGTTTTAAGTTTTTTACCAATAAAAAAAATTAAATTTATTATAAATGTAATTACTTATAATTACAATTTTTATTTTCTTACAACATTTTTATTCTAATCAAATTTATATAAGAAAATATATATTTTATTTTATTTTTTTTTTAATTTCACTTTTTCATCATTTATGGCTTTCTAATCAAACGGAAGGAAAACAACACCTCCCTTAGAAAAAATGGACTACCGGATTTTTGCGAGATTGTTTCCGCTTTGCTTGGGAATGCTCTCATGTTTTAGGATTGTCTTGCTTTGAATGGCAAGAGATACTTAAAAACGTAATAGGAGTGTTTTGGACAAAAAAAAATAATACTTATTACAATAGTCAAAACAATTTGAATTTAGTAAAATAAAATACTTAGGACTGAGATTTATCAAAAAAATCTCCCTAAAAACGAAGTAAAATATATTATTTTATAACTTTTTTAATAACATTTTCACTACATTAACGTAATCTAACAATTAATACATGATTCACCTGCTTCTCATTTTTTTTCTTCAAATGGTCCCATCATTTGTCACTTAAGAACACAAAGGATTATGTGCACTGTATTTTGAGTAAACTTTAAAAGAAATGTTAAAAACACTGAGGATTGTGTGCACAGGATGCACAGCCTCCTCATATGATGATGGGGCCATTTCTCATTTCTTAATGTATTTATAATTTATATAATAAAAAACAACAATGATTCATCCCACTAAAAACATCACCACTAATAGTACTAATGCATTAAAAAAATAAAAAAATAAAAAAAAATACAACTCCAAAATCAAAACATCACATCATTAATGACAGGACCCACTGCCACCTAATTGTGAAGATATATTTTCTGAGTACCAATACGTGGCAAGGTGACGCCGAGGTGCCAGCCGAGGTGCCACGTGTCCGGATTATGACGCCGAGGTTATCTCGGCAAGGCCGAGGTTATCTCCGAAGATATCGGAATCCGAAATAAGCGGATAAGGGATAGGGGATAAGAGTCCTAGAGTAAAGTGGAGACTTAGCCAAGATAAGGATAAAACTCTTAGGGAGTTTATCTTTATCTCCTAAAAAGTCCAAAGTAAGTACTGAACAGGAGTCCATAGAAGTTAGGCTTCTATTGGGACTAGGTTTATGTTGGCTATAAAAGAGAGGCACTCACATGGGTCTAAGGTATGCTTTTAGGCTCAAGCTTGTGAGTTGAATAATTGATTATCTTTAAGAGATACACTGACTTGATCGTCGGAGTGTCCCCGGGTAGACGAACCACCGCCGGAATCTTCTCTTTCTATTGCAGGTCAGCCAGGTGCCATCTATTCTGCCGATGCTTTCCAACTGGTTACTAAGTGGGCAGTGTGGTCAGAAAATCACCCATACAATTTGGCACCGTCTGTGGAAAAGAAAGAAGAATAGATAGCTAATGACAGACAGAAGGATCAGATTAGAGACAACGCTCCTACTGGGAGTCGGAGACCTATCGATCTTGACGTTGAAAGGGACGACCGCAACACAGAAATTCGTGACCAGAGTCATGGAGTAAAAGACGCCGGCCAGGAAGGTGACGCACCAAAGACAACAGATCGAATTGGATACTACAACGAAGATGACCTCCAGGTATGGAAGGATAGATACTTGTAGAGGAACGAAAACCCTTCCAGAAGGGATGCAAAGATAGGGGGCATGAGTGCTTCCAAGGAGATAACATTCAAGTATAGAAGAGCTCAACCTGAGTGAGCAAATCCCGGATCCCAGATCCCAGAAGACATGATCTCGGCCTAGATGAGTAGGTCCGAGAAAAGAAGAGCTCAACCTGAGTGAGCAGATCCAAGATTCTAGAAGATAAGATCTCGGCACCTGAGTCCGAGAAGAGAAGAGCACAATGAGCAGATCTCAGATCCCAGAAGATAAAAAAGAAACACACAAGATCAGACTAAAGTTTGCCAGAATTGAGAAGTATACTAGGGCCGAGGAGGACATGCCGGGAACAAAGGTGTCGGAACAAGAAAAGAGAAACGGCTCGCCGATGCGAGGCCGAAAAATTAAACTCAGGTTGGAGCCAAGTAAGATCAATAGAGAAACTAAGGCTGACAACCTCGGTTTGAATTAAACCTCAGCGACAAGGTCGAAGCTACATGTATGATGAGAACCCAAGTGGATTTTAAGTTCACACTGGGGGGGGGGCAGAGAGAAGAAGAATGCGCTTAACACTTGTTGAAATTTGTAGCAATTTACAAGTTGAAGTTAAATCGAAGTAATGCTTAACGCTTGTTGAAATTTGTAGTAATTTACAAGTTGAAGTTAAGCCGAGACAATTGTTTATCTTCACTTGTTGAAATTTGTAGCAATTTACAAGTTGAAGTTAAACGAAGTTATATTTAACGCTTGTTGAAATTTGTAGCAATTTACAAGTTGAAGTTAAGCCGAGATAATTGTTTATCTTCACTTGTTGAAATTTGTAGCAATTTACAAGTTGAAGTTAAGTCGAGATAATTGTTTATCTTCATTTGTTGAAATTTGTAGCAATTTACAAGCTAAAGTTAAGCCGAGATAATTGTTTATCTTCACTTGTTGAAATATGTATCAATTTACAAGTTGAAGTTAAGTCGAGATAATTGTTTATCTTCACTTGTTGAAATTTGTAGCAATTTACAAGCTGAAGTTAAGCTGAGATAATTGTTTATCTTCACTTGTTGAAATTTGTAGCAATTTACAAGTTGAAGTTAAGCCGAGATCATTGTTTACCTTCACTTGTTGAAATTTGTAGCAATTTACAAGTTGAAGTTAAGCCGATATATATTGTTTAACACTTGTGAAAATTTGTAGCAATTTACAAGTAGATCATTGTTTAGCACTTGTTATAACTTAAGAAAAGTTTACGAAGTTGAGATTAAACTAGTATATGTTTATCCTTGTTGAAATTTGTAAGCAATTTACAGGACAAGTACTTGCCGAAGAAAAAGGTCAGGTGGCATAACCGAGTTATGTCACCCCGAGAAAATTGCACAAAGAAGGAAAAGTACATAGGACATGCAAAATATTCTAAGTATAGAATCATGCAAGAGCAGTTAGAAGAAGATCAAGACAGAATTCATGGTGATTGACACGCCCTCGCCATACAATAGCATCTTGGGAAGGCCATGGTTGCATGCAATGGGGGCAGTTCCCTCAACGTTGCATCAACTACTGCGGTTCCCAACAGAACATGGGATTGAAGAAGTCAGAGGGGATCAACTGCAGGCGGAGAATTGCTCTATGGTAGCAATGAAATCCACCTGCAGCATTCGAGAATCAGAGAAGGCAGAGATTGAAAACGATGACATAGAGGTCCTAGATGATGTCGGCAAGGAGCCAGCTGAGAGGAGAGAAGAGGCACTGAAAATTCTCGTCTAGGAGGGGGATGAAGAACACTTCTTTCTTCTCGGCTCAAGCTTAGTCGAAGAAGAAGAAAGAGAATTGGAAGCTTTTTTTTAGAGCAAACATTGAGGTATTTGCTTGGACACCTTACGAAATGCCTCACATTGACCCCGAGGTCACTTGCCATCAACTGAACATCGACAGGTCGGCCAAACCTGTAATCCAATGAGCAAGAGGACCGACGTTGATGCACGTCGAAGCAGTAGAGGAAGAAGTAGACAGACTTCTGGAGCCCAAGGCCATCCGAGAAGTCAATTACCCGACATGGCTACCAAATACAGTGGAAGAAGGAATGATAATCAAGGAGCAAGGAATGTTAACATCGGCCAACAAACAGACATTTTTCAAAAGCAAAAAAAGTTGCATATGCAAAGAAAACAAAAGTACAAAGATGAAGACCCTAAGAACTAGGGACTAGGGTAAGAACGTCGAACTAATCTACTACAACGGTTGACGGTGGTTCAGCATTGGCAATCAGCTGAGAGAGCTTCTCTACCATTATCTCGGCAACAATTTCAAGAAGGGACGTGGTTCTAAGACTATGCAGAAAACAGAAACGAAGGCAAGAATCTGAAAATACAACAAGAAAAACAAGAAGAGAAAAAACAGAGTCAAGAAGATGACAAAGTTGAAAGAATAAAACACGGGCACTAAGTAAGTATGTGAAGAGCAAGAAAGTAATGAACCAGACATGATGCTAGCAACAGAAAGCGGATATGACAAGAACAGTTCCAGGCATTTTAGCAATAAGAAATCAAAAACTTGAAGACAGACGAGAACAGAAGGCCACAGATGGAAAATAAACAGATCCAAAGTAAATCAAAAGAGTTATGCAAGATCGAGCTTAATAAAAAAGTGAAGATTTATGAACCTACCAAATGAACGCCGATATAAAGATCGCCGGAGTCAAATAGGTGACTGGAAATCAGGAAACCCACCGGACAGTATGAACAGAGCAGTTGCAGAAAGCTTGAAAAGAGATCAATGAAGGATTAGGGATATTTTTTTGAAAAGAGAAAATTTTTAGCACAGAAAGCACATGAATGAATGCAAAATGAGAAGACAAAGGGAACGAGAGAGAGCTTTGTTGAAAACTCAAAAAAGGCGACAAAGGAATTGTACCTTGGGTGACGTACCTGTCAGGCAGCGTACGCAGAAACAATGCAAACCTGATAAGCGCGTACAAGCAAGTAAGGGATGAACGTATGAACAAAACGGTTGAGGAGTGTATGCATGGTAGCTCATACGCAGTTGCAAAAGCTTCTGGAGTTTACGAATTGATGGAACCATAAACCTCGGCTAGGAGGTGCGATCTCAAGTAGCCTGAAAGGCATGAATCTTGATACTTGACACAAGTGGACAGTAAGGTCCAGGGAACTTTGAGGTTGGCGAGTTTGATCTCGGACAGAGGGGCACAGATGAACGAACAGTGTAGGTTCCATCACCTCAGAATGCTGAGGTAATAGAACCTAGGAGGCAGTTGTGGGGATATATTTTCTGAGTACCAACACGTGGCAAGGTGACGTCGACGTGTCAGCCGAGGTGCCACGTGTTTGGGTTATGACGCCGAGGTTGTCTCGGCAAGGCCGAGGTTATCTCCGAGGATATCGGAATCCGAGATAAGCGGATAAGGGATAAGGGATAAGAGTCCTAGAGTGAAGTGAAGACTTAGCCAAGATAAGGATAAAACTTTTAGAGAGTTTATCTTTATCTCCTAAAGAGTCCAAAGTAAGTACTGAACAGGAGTCCATAGAAGTTAGGCTTCTATTGGGACTAGGTTTATGTTGGCTATAAAAGTGAGGCACTCCCATGGGTCTAAGGTATGTTTTTAGGCTCAAGCTTGTGAGTTGAATAATTGATTATCTTTAAGAGATATACTGACTTGATCGTTGGAGTGCCCCCGAGTGGACGAACCACCGCTAGAATCTTCTCTTTCTGTTGCAGGTCAGCCAAGTGCCATCTATTCTGCCGGTGCTCTCCAGCTGGTTACTAAGCGGACAATGTGGTCAGAAAATCACCCACACAAGTTCATTAGAAGATAAGAAAGCAGAAATGCTTTTCTTGCCATGGATAATGGCAAGAGGGCACATGATTCCAGTGATAGACGCAGCAAGGATTTTTGCAGCTCATGGAGCTAAAGTAAAGTGACCACAATCACAACTCCAGGCTACGCTCAGCTTTTCCAAAAACCCATCGAGGGAGACCAGTCATTAGGCCATGATATCAGCTTCCACACCTTCAAATTACCCACCGGCGAGTTCGGCTTGCCGGATGGCTGTGAGAATCTCCTCCACGGCTCCGTTGGCAAGATGGAGAAGATTTATTTGGCCGTCGAGAAGCTTCAAGAACCCATACAAAACTCGTCTGAGAACGCCGCCCCAATTGCATCGTCAGCGACATGTTCCATCCCTGGACCGCCGACCTTGGTGCTCGCCTCGGCATTCATGGACTTTTGAACTCATAACCTTGAAAATGTTACTTTTGGGCATATGTAAAATTAATTGATATAAATATAATTTTTATAAAAAAAGAGATAAATTACAAACCCCTTTTCTAAAATTTATTTAAATTACAAGTTCTCTCTTGTAATTTTAAAAATTATATTATAACCCTTAAGGTTTCGAATTTCGTAACAAATAGGTCATTTTATTAATAAATCACTAATAAAATTTTATTTCAATAAATAATTTAAATAATTTTATTATTGTATACATAAACTGTTATGAATTTTACTTTTTCAATTAATTCTGTTAAAAAAAAATTCTGATAGGAAGATATTTGTAATTTTTCAAATCACAAAAAATAATTCGTATTTTAAATAAATTTTAGGAAATGTATTTATAATTTAACCCAAAAAAAAAAAAGAAAAAAAGGAAAATAATGTGACCAAATAAATATACTTGTCTCAAATAGTGCCTCATCATACTAGTTGATTCCACCATCTGATATTATACTGACCTTTTTGAGATTTGGAATGAAAAATATTAGAGGCATCAATTGAGGAATTCTAATCGATTCTAATGATATGAAATGAGGTGGACACACCCTCCTCTTTTTATTTTTCTTTATTTTCTCTCATTCATTATTGGTCAAAATAGTGGTGTTATATTAAGAGAGATAGAATAGTTTTAAAAAAAATATATAACAAGATTATAATTTTGATATAGGTATACCGGTACCTTTTAATAAGGTTTTTGAAATTGAAGTAAATGTGTTAGTTAAGAAACTGAGCCACAAACATTTTGTTTATATATACAATAAAAAAATATGATAACGACATTTTTAAAATTAAAGTCAATCTTGAAAATGCAAGCTTCTGACTTAAAAATACCAGAACCTAAACTATTGTATCATTGATAAAAATCTCGTATGAACTTACTTTGTGTTTGTATATCACTATTTTTAAATTCATGATTCTACGTTACAGGTTTTTTTGTTCCCGCTCTGTTGTGAAGAGAACCTTCGGCGGTACGCACCGCACGATAAGGCAAATTGTGATACAGAGACCTTTTGCTTTGCCGGGTCTCCCCGACGACAACCTTATTTTTACGAAGAAAAAAACACCATTCTGGTTTAAGGATAAAGGAACTGGTTGGGGACAATTTCTTGACATGGTTATAGAATCTGAGCTCAGGAGCTATGGGGTTATGGTCAACAGCTTTTACGACATGGAGCCAGCTTATGCCGAATATTTCAAGGATGAAATGGGCAGAAAGCTATGGCTCTTAGGACCCGTGTTTCTCTTCAACAATGAAGTCGAACAAAAGGCTGAGAGGGGCCAAAAGAACTCGATTGAGGGAGGTACAGTTTTGAATTGGCTCGACTCCAAAGGAACCAAGTCAGTACTTTATGTTAGTTTTGGGAGCTTGGTTAGTATGCATCCTGAACAGTTCCTCGAGCTTGCTCACGGGCTCGAGGCTTCTAGCTGCCCATTCATTTGGGTGGCCAGAGATGAGTCAGAGTTTGGCCAAGAAAAGGAGGCGGAAATGGAGGTAGAAAGTTTCCAGAGGGATTTGAGGAGAGAATGACGAAGTCCGGACAAGGGTTGATAGTAAAGAGCTGGGCACCACAATTGCTAATCTTAGAACATGCAAACATTGGGAGGGTTCTTAACACACTGCGGATGGAACTCGGCAGTTGAGGGGGTAGGAGCGGGTGTTTCGATGATTACATACCCCTTCGCGGCAGAGCAGTTTTTCATTGAAAAGCCTCATTGTGGATGTGTTGAAGACTGGGATTCGAGTAGGAAACGAGGAGTGGTTATCGTATACTTGGGAACCCAAGGTGACGGTGACCAGAGAGAAGGTGAAGGCAGCAGTAAAGTGGCTGCTGGGCGGTGGTGGTGTTGGTGAAGTGGAGGAGGTGAGAAGGCGAGCAAAAGAGTTGAGTGTGAAGGCTAAGAAAGCTGTAAACCATGGTGGCTCATCTGATGCTGATGTTGTTTCTTTTGATCAATGAGCTTAAGTCTCGTCGGAAGCGTTTGTGCGAATAATTTTTGATCTTGTAATCCAAGTCCTACCTGCCAATAAAATTTATAGGGGCCAGAATAAGACTATTGATTACTTTTCTAATTCTGTTATTTAGTGTTACGGGCTAGAATAAGACTATTGACTCGAGTCATTGGTCACCGATTTCTATTGTAATACTGTTATGTTTTTTATTTTTTGTTTTTGGGTGTCTAGGATATTTATAGGGCTAGCTTGCTAGGTTTCAATTTTCAGAAAATAATTTTAGAAAATTCTATTTTTTTATTTTTCGTATTTTAATATTTTCAATGAATTTTTTTTTTATGTTTTCAATGAATTTTTTTTAATATTTTAAGTATTTTTTTTTTTTAATTTTTAGACACACCTAACATAAACAAACTTAAAAAGTATAATATTTGTGAAAAAAATCTTTAAAAAATACACTAAGGTCAAGTTTGGCTATCCTAAATAAGTACACACTTTTTATCTTTTTTTCATCACATCATCTCTGTACTTTTCTGCACATCTTTTCGTAAAAAGACAAAAAGTGTACTTATTTAGGTCATCCCAAACAACTCCTAAATATCAAAAAATGCAAAAAAAATTATGAAAATTTAATACATTTTTATATTTTTGTGTATTTATTAATTTTTTAAAATTTTTTTTCATAAATATTTTATTATTTAGATACATCTACGTAAAGTGCATCTAAAAAAGTAAAAAAAAAAATACTTAAAATTTAAAAAATATTCACTAAAAACAAAAAAATACGAAAAACAAAAAAACTCAATTTTTAAAAAATTGAATTAAAAAAACTGAAACCAAACACATTAGTTACCTCTTGAGTCATTAGTCACCGATGTAACTGTTGTCGTATGTTATCCTATAATGGTTTCTTTGTAATAAACTACTTGAATTTGCTTGAGTAATAGCGGTAATCTTATGGTAAGCCATGTTCGCAGTACTGGTAATGTGGTTGCTCACCGGTTGGCTAGATTGGCTATCTTCTCTCCGGGGTTGCGTGTTTGGATGGAAGAGGTTCCGAATTCGGTTGCTTCGGCTGCTCATCTTGATGTTGTTGGCTCATGACTCCCCTGTTTATTTTTCTTTTGGTCATTTCGTCTGTAATTTCTGTTTATTCATACACTATCTAAAAAAAAAAACAGCGGTAATCTAATCATTGATAAAAATAAATACATAAAAAAAATTGTTATTTATTTGAAACATTATTACATTCAAAATTTGAATAATGTGGATACAAGCATGGCATGTTGGCACAATCCAAAAAGATATGAACTTAAAAATCAAACACAAAAATGACCATCTCACTAATTTTAAATCTATATTATACATTTTATTTTTGAAATGAATTTTGAAGTAAAAGTTCAACATACAAGCATTTTTGTTATCTGGCTGATGGGAAGTTGTAATAACAAAACTTTATGACATTTGTCCCAAAAATTAAATTAAATCTGTAATTATAGTCACATAATTTTATCAAAATTGTTTTTAAACAATAGACGGTCATCTGTTTCAGAACAGGAAATGTGATTTGTAATGATTCCACGGACTCTAATTTAAGTGTCAAAAGAGAACTAGAGAGAAGTTGTGTTATATTAGCATCCCATATGGTTATATTATCAACTAATATTAGATGGTATATCAACTATAGTATTCTTCACAATAGAGAGGGAACAAACCTGTAATGCAGAAAAGGAACCTGGGAATGCCAAGCGGAGCACCAGCGTCCGCTGTCCACGGATGGTACATGTCGCTGCCAATGCAATCGTGGTCCTTCTAGGAGGAGTTGCTCGATGGGTTCTTGGAGCTTCTCAATGGCCACATGAAAAGCTTTTTGATCATGATGATTGAAGGCAAGCCGAACTCGGTGGTGAGTACTTTGAAGGTCTGGAAGATGGTGTTATGGCCTAATGATTTGCCTCGATCGATCAATTTCTTGAAGAGTTGGGCGTGTGGTGACAGGGCTGGTCCTGAGTTTCATAGGACCTAAACAAAATTATATGTGGGGGACTTTTTACATATTTACCAAAAAAAAAAAAAAAGAAGAAAGGGTAAAATGGTATATCTTCATTTTTTTTTTTCTAGCATCCATACAGAATTATTACAAGAATTCAAAAAGATAAAGTTTAGTTTAGGAAAATCAAAATGAGAAACAAAAAGCATCAAAAACGATATTGTAAGTAAACAAAGCCCAATCTAATTTGTTCAAATCCTATACGTTATCCATTAAAAATGATATTGTAGATAACTAGATTACAAAAGTTCTGTATTGTAATTGATAAATCTTAACAAGTGTCTTAAAAAACAAAAAGAAGATATTAAATATTAAAATTTGTGTAAAAAGTATTTGGGAAATAATAAATGAGTTAAAAATAATCTTGAAATCAATGAAAAGAGTTTTAAAGTATGTAAAAAGTGTATGCATTTTTCAATATTTCTTATGTTCCAAGGCATTTGTTAATAAGACCTTACAACATTTGGAATTTTTTTTCTTCTTTACCATCCACCGCCCGCCACCACCACTTACTTGCCACCACCACTCACCACCCACCTGCCACTATAATATTCCCAACATTTCATCTAGAGCCAAACACACTCCTATGTTAAACTCTATTTAGGATATCTAAACCCAACTCCAAACTTGATAGTAGGCGTGACCAAACACCCCATTTCAACACAAAAAAAAAGAAGAAGAGAAGTGCAGATTTTTTTTTTCTTTTTCGTTGTCTTCATTCATCCTTCTCTAACTTCTCCCTACATTCTCTCTCATTTTTCCTTTACCTTCTTGGTGGCCAAACACCACACCCTTGCTCCACCCTTACACCACCACCTTAACCCACCATCTCCACCACCGCCGGCCACCTTATCTCGCCAGAAAAAGGGTCCGGTCGGCCACTCCTTAAATCCATCCAAAAATAGCACAATAGAAGTACCAACTTTAAATTTTTCTTAATCTTTTGAAGAATCAAAGCATGGGGTTTATTTTCTTGATGGATTAGAGGCTTGTAATTGGTAAGAATCTTTCTCTAAAAGTTTAGTTTAAAGTTTTACATATTTTGAGTTAGAGATGATGAATTTTTTTTGTATTTTAGATCTATTATTATTTGGGATTTGATTGTTGAATTTTATACTCTCAATTAGTTTCTATGAATGTTTTACATGTTGAAAAATGATCAATTTGATGGTTGTTTTGGAGATTAAGATTTTGGGTTAATCTAGGGTTTGAATGTGATGTAAAAATTGGGGATTTTGGTGTTAGGAAATTTATATGTTGAAATTGATTTGATAAATGGTGGATTTAGTATTTCTATGTTCTATGGAGGAATTTATAAATGATTGAAGAGATTTTACTAAAGTTGTTGAGTTTATAAAAAATGTTGATTTTTGACTTTTGTAGTTAATTGATGGTGGTATTGTGCATATGAATTAATTGGATATTTAAAAAGTTACTAACTCAAAGATACACAAAGGATTGGTGTTGTGGAGATTGGATAAGTTATTTGTTTGGGTGACTTGAAATTGGAAGAGTTCTTTAGCTTGTCATTCCTTAGCATAATTTATTTAGGATCATTTTTGTAGATGTTGTAATTTTTCATTGAAAGATTTTTCCTAATTTTAGGTCCTATCTTACTAATTGTTAGGATTGGAGGAAGGCGTCTCTACACCTCTTGGGAATTAATTTGTAGAGTCTCAATCTACACTTTTGCTATTTTTGGAGGTGAGTATACTTACCATGGAAATTACCTTACCTCTATCTTTATTACAAAGTTTGAAGATAATTTTGAATTAAATGAAGCGAATGATACATTTCATCATGATATATGTATAAAAAGAAAAATCTATAAATCTATAAATCTATTGAGGCCAATGATTGAGTTTAAATAAACATATGATTTCATTTGTATAATGAAGCACTAATTTTTATGAGAATTTATTTAACTTGAGTCCTTCAAATTTTATGATGATGATGATTGAATGACAATGACACACTATTTGAGGGTATTTATTTTGTTGATCATATAACCGAATATAGCCTTCGAGGCCACAAGGGCCAAAATGCTTTGGGGTCCTGGGGACCGAAATGTTTTAAGGACCATAAGGGTCGTTGTATGTATAAGGGGTCCCGGGGACCGAAACATTGAAACAAGAATTGAAGTGCTACAATGACATGAGTTATGTTCCTATGGTTATGTTTTGGGTAACGGTACCGTCACCACCTAAGTCGCGAGGTAACGCGACCCTAAGGCTATGTAGTGGTTCGTATGATAGACATGAGATCTTAATTTATTAAAAAGTTGTATTTTTGTTTACTTTCATTATTCAAATGTATATTTTTTTTTTCTTCCTTATGAGATTCCTTGGAAAAATCTTGATAACGTTTTATGAAAATTATATTTCATCTTTTTTATTTTTATTTTGTATAAATTTCAGTCCAATTAAGCTCTTATGTTTATTATATTTATTTTGAACCCAATTGGAAGGAGCAAGTTTTATAACTCCATGGTATTGGTATACTCATTGAGCTTTAGCTCATTCTTTTTAAATAATTTTTTTTTTGTTTTTTTTCAGATTCATAGACTTTTGTGTGGCTTGCCTCAACTTGGAAGACTAGAATTTTTTTTGAAGGATCAAAGGTGGGCATCTTGTAGTTGATGTTTTGCTTAGGGTCATTCTAGGATGTAAGTTTACCCCCTTTTTTTTTTATTTTTTTTTATTTTTTATTTTATGAAGAAGGTTGATTATAAATAATTGCTCATGAAGTTGGATGTATTGATGGATTCGTGAATAGTATGCATTATTTTTGGGGAGGAAATGCTTGGGAACTATCTTGTAGCATGATAATACTTTTTTGTCTTTGAATAGATCATCTCATACATGTTGGGCAATTGAAAGGTCTTATGCACTTTTGGTGATGTGGTGATGTGATGTAAGGATTATACAGGAATTGTGGTGTAAATGTGCTATAGCGTTTGAGGTGCACCCTCTTGGTGGGGTTTTGCCTTGCCAAGATTGGGTCGTTACAAGATGAGCAGACAGTTCATAGTCTCAATGGATGCAGAGTGACTGATCAAATTTTGCGTTTGGTCCCAAATATTCAGGTTGTTATTGAATATTTTTGTTCATAAATTTGGCTTTTTGTATGTGTTGCTGATTGTGTTTATTTTTATCATGGTCAGAGCTTTCGTACTACACTGAGATGTGTGACACTCTGGGCAAAGCGACGTGGGGTTTATTCAAATGTGAGGATGCTCTTTCATTCTTAATGTTTCTTTGTTCTTGCTGCTGTGTCTCATTTCTGACTACATATGCTGTGTGATTCTCTGTCACAATCAGGTTTCAAGGTTTCTTGGTGGTATCAATTGGGCGTTACTTGTTGCTCGTATATGCCAACGTTACACATGGTGTATCATGTACATTGATGAATAAATTTCATTAAATATTATTATAATTAGTGATGTGTAAAATATGTGGTGCATCTGCCATCACTGGGGTTTCTCTAGCCGACGGAAAAAAAAGCACATCAATTATTGAGATTTATTCCTCGGATGCGCTAACATGATACATATTCATTGTAGTACTTGATTCTGTTCTTATCATGTGTTGGTTGGATCTCATTTTTTTTAATTGTTGAGATTTACTAATATGTTATTGCTTGTTTAGGTCTCCGATAATTTACTTCATGATGCTAGTAGCAATCAAGAAACTTTAATCTTTTGTTCTCAAACCCTCAGAAGCAAGGTAATCTGATTCTCCTGCTATTCATTATCTGTGCATTTGTGATTTGTACCAAAGGTTACTGCTATATAATGCTATTCACCTGTGAATATGTCTTTTGATTTGCATTTATTATAGGTTTTGGTATATCAAGGCAGCCTTTCTTTTCACATATCATAGTGCATTTTGCTTGTGATGGACAGGTACAACGAGATTTTGAAGAGCTGCCTTCTGAAGCTTTTCGCCCGTTACGGGATTTATTAAATGTAAGAATATTTATAGGTTTTACACTTTTATGAGGTTCTCATTCAGAATTTGGCATGAGTTATCATATGATTTGTTGGTAGTGCCATTTCTATCTATAATTTCATTGTTTACTGGGGGAGCCTTGGGATCTACATGTTTGCTAATTGAAAGGGGCAAATGCTATACCATAGTTAGTGGGAACTGAAAGTTATGCTTTACATAGATTCTTTATAAGCTTAGCTTGTTCTTCCATCCTTTTCTTTCTTGATAAATCTGCAACAGTGTTCTTTCTTATACACTATAAAGACGTGTGAGGATTGCAGATGGGCAGTTTGTAACTTTGTATTTTGAATCCTAATATCTTGAACAAGATCCTGCAATCTGAAAAATACGCCAACGTTGGTGTACCTAGTGCCCCCTTTCCCTCACTGTTTCTTTTCCTAATTTTCCACTGTTCGTAGTGTAAATAAGTTTTGTCTATATGCTGCTGTTTCTGTTTAGTGCATGTAAACTTGTTTTCTTGCAATTGTGTGCATATGTTGATTCATGTTTGTGATGCAAAAGAGTTTCTTTGACTGATTACCAGCTTTCACATGGTTGTAAATGCAGAGCTTATTGAAAACATTTCACAAAGGCCCCCCCTAAAGTTAGAACCCAGGTATTGTTGTTTTCTCTGTACAACCACTTACACTCTTGTGCGCGCACACACAACTTGGAATGTAAATACAAAGATATGTCCAGCTAAAATTTGTCACCTTTTAGATTAGCCTTGCTGTGGCTGCATTGGCTGTTCATGTTCCTGCTAAAGATTGGGGTGATGGTGGCATTGTAAATTGGCTTAGAGATGAGATGAATTCTCACCACGAATGCCACAAGTATATATATATATATATATATACATATCTATTACATAATAATAAGTATATATATTGTGTGTGTCAATTTCCGACCACACTGCCAATCAAGAACTCAGCTGGAGAGCACTAGCAGAATAGATTAAGCCCGAACGACCTGTCACAAAATTAAAGAAGAGATTCTGGCGGTAGTTCGTCCACCCGGGGGTACTCGGACGATCAAGTCAGTTATCTCTCAAACATAGCAAAAGAGCTTAACTCACTATTCAGAACATAAAAAGCATACCTTAGACCCATGAGGGGTGCCTCTCTTTTATAGCCAACACAAACCTAGTCCCAATAGAAGCCTAACTTCAATGGACTTAGGATTACTGCTAATCTTGGACTCCCAGTAGGATTGGGATAAACTCTCTAAGAGTCTTATCTTTATCCAAACTGAAGTCCTCTCTCATTCTAGGACTCTTGTCCCTTATCCGCTTATCCTGGATTCTGGTATCTTCGCAGATAACCTCGGCCTAGCCGAGATCATCTCGGCGTCATAACCAGGACATATGGCACCTCGGCTGGCACATCGGTGACACCTCGGTCACGTGTTGTCATTCAAAAATTATGTCCCCACAACTGCCCCTTAGGTTCTATTACCTCGGCATCCTGAGGTGATGGAACCTATATCATTCCTTCCTTTAATCATGACCCCAGTTTAATTTCAACTTGTAAATTTTTTTTAAAATTTCAACAAGTGTTAAGCATGACATCGGTTTAACTTCAACTTGTAAATTTTTCTTTAAAATTTCAACAAGTGTTAAACATGTCCTCGGTTTAACTTCAACTTGTAAATTTTTCTTAAAATTTCAACAAGTGTTAAACATGATCTCGGTTTAACTTCAACTTGTAAATTTTTCTTAAAATTTTAACAAGTGTTAAACATGATTTCAGTTTAACTTCAACTTGTAAATTTTTCTTAAAATTTCAACAAGTGTTAAACCGATCTTGGCTTGAAAATTCTAACTCCCAAGCATCATTCTCCTGCTCTCTGCATGGCGTCCACCTACTCCTTTATGGACCTTATACAAAAAGTCTTTAACTTAGGCTGAGCTTTTCTCTTCTCGGACTTAATCATCTAGGTCGAGATCTTGTCTTCTGGAATCTGGGATCTGCTTACTTTAGGCTGAGCTCTTCTCTTCTCGGACCTAATCATCTAGACTGAGATCATGTCTTCTGGGATTCTCCATGATCAACCTCCCGCGAAGGCCGGTGAGAATGTCCCTCGGTCCCGCCATGCTGAGGGACTGCAGGAACCGTTTTCTGCCCCTATTTCTGGGCACCTTCTTGGCCGCTGGAATCGGCGTATCTTATAGCGGGAACGGTGGCTGCATGACGTTGTTCTGCATCAAGAAATTGACGACCGTTTTGCAGGTCCCCAATTTGTTCGCCATTCTCTTCATCTCGCCGTCCCTCCGCAGGCATCTATCTTTCTATACTTGGAGGTCGTCCTTGTTATAATACCCGCTCCGGTCCGATTTCTTTGGTACGTAGCCCTTCTGGCCGACGTTTTTTTTTTCGTGATTTTTATCACGAGTCTCTTCATGGCAGTTGTCTTCTTCGACGTCAAGGTCAATATGTTTCCCACCCTCAGTAGGGGTGTCGTCTCCAACCTTCTCTTTCTGTCCGTCGTTGGACATCTATCCTTACTAAGTTCCCACAGACGGCGCCAAATTGTGTGTGTCAATTTTTGACCACACTGCCAATCAAGCACTCAGCTGGAGAACACTAGCAGAATAGATTAAGCCCGAACGACCTGTCACAAAAAGAAGAGATTCCGGCGGTGGTTTGTCTACCCGAGGGCACTCCGACGATCAAGTCAATTATCTCTCAAAGATAGCAAAAGAGCTTAACTCACTATTCAGAACATAAAAAGCATACCTTAGACCCATGAGGGTGCCTTTCTTTTATAGCCAACACAAACCTAGTCCCAATAAAAGCCTAGCTTCAATGGACTTAGGATTAATGCTAATCTTGGACTCTTAGTAGGATTGGGATAAACTCTCTAAGAGTCTTATCTTTACCCAAACTGAAGTCCTCTCTCATTCCAGAACTCTTGTCCCTTATCCGCTTATTCCAGATTTTGGTGTCTTCGCAGATAACCTCGGCCTAGTCGAGATCATCTCGGCTTCATCACCAGGACACGTGGCACCTCGGCTGGCATTTCGGTGACACCTCGGTCACGTGTTGTCATTCAAAAATTATGTCCCCACATATATACATATATATTACACAATAGAAAAAAAGAAGAAGAAGAAGAGGACAAATGATTGAAGGGATTACCTAATTGCGAATTATATATGTAATTAAAGTCTTTTAGTATAAGGATTATTTGTATTAATTTCATGTTATATAGATTTGACACTAATTCGACACTAATTCGACCTGTTTAATATTTTTATTATTGAGTCGTTTCATATACATATTCGTGTCAGGAAATGGTCAATCCTAACTTGTTAACTTTATATATTGTTTAATATTTTTATTATTGATTTGTGTCATATACATATTCATGTCAGAAAATGGTCAATCCTAACTTATTAACTTTATATATGGTTTGAGTCTTTTTGTGGTGTCTTGTTGCAAATTCTCACCCTTAGCCACAAGTCTCTCTTAAAGGGAAATCTTGGGTTCCACTGGCTCCGTTGGGGAAGAAAAAAAATTAGGCTTTTTTGGCTAAAATAGCCACAAAAAACAAAATAGATTTTTGAGTCTAATAAGACAAAACATCATATCTAACTCATAATCATTACATTTTTTCTCTCACAAAAAAGCTAAAAAAGTCAAAAATCCTTCCCAAACAAGTATTTTTAGCCCTAAGCTAAAATAGTTAAAAAAAGTCAAAAAGCGAAAAAACTAACCCACTTTCCCAACGAACCCAGTATTAGGATTGAAATATGGGTCAAGACTTCAAAGGCCCTATTTGGCAAGTAGGATTTGGGCTATTTTTTGGCTCAATTTACAAAGAGACAAAATATGCTAAAATAGTTAATAAAACAAAATGCCACATCAAACCCATAATCATTTTACTTTTTCTCTCACAAATATCACATCAAACTACAAAAAAATTCAATCACTTTCCTAAACACAAAAATTTTAATCTACTAAAATGACCAAAAACTAAAATAACCTACCAAAATAGCCAACTTTCCAAACACCCACAAAGTGCTTTCATTGAGAAGGTGATAGTTCAGCCCCTCTAAACTGCTAATCTAATAACAAACTATTAACTTTCGCAGATAAAAAAAAAAAAAAACAAATGTGAAGGACAGTTTGTTAGGAGGAGATTTTTCATTTTCTATTTTTTTTTTCTGTTCATTTTTATTGTAATTAAAAGAAAGATCCCACTCACATATAAATATTTAACCCACAGGCCACTATCTAGAAATTTTTTCAAAAGCAAAAAAAAAAAAAGGCATCACCATTTGATGATTATTTTTTTTTCCCAGCAATGACAATACCGAGTTGATTCAGGAAAATCCAAGTAAATTACTAGAAACAAATTATTCAGAGACCTCGCATAAGAGCATCTCAAATGAAGAGGTTAATTTGTATGTTATATGATAAAAAGTAATAAAAGTAAGATACATTGTAGAGAAAGAGGGGAAGCAAACATTGAGCCAGATTATAGAAATCATCCTCTCTCAGCGGGGCTATATTCCATCGGAGCTATATTCTGGAAATTACCACCGGAGATTTCTTAAACTATGTGAGAGAGAGAGAAAGAGAGAGAGAGAGAGAGAGAGCTTGGTGGAAAGAAGAAGATGTGTGTTGAGAAGAGGAAGAGGAAGAGGTGTGAGAGAGTGTGGGTTTCAAATTTTGAAATCAAAATCAGTGACAGCGAGAGAAGAAGCCTGTGATATGTGAGTTGAGGCATGAGGGTAGGTACCAAAAAAACTAAATATGGACTATGTGTGTCAATTTCTGACCATATTGCCAAACAGGTACTCAGCTGGAGAACACTGACTGAATAGATTAAGCCCGAACGACCTATCACAAAAAAAAAGAGATTCCGGCAGTGGTTCGTCCACCCGGGGGCACTCCGACGATCAAGTCAGTTATCTCTCAAAGATATCAAAAGTGTTTAACTCACTATTCAGAGCATAAAAAGCATACCTTAGACCTATGGAGGTGCCTCTCTTTTATAGCCAACACTTACCTAGTCCCAATAGAAGCCCAGCTTCAATGGACTAAGGATTACTGCTAATCTTGGACTCCCAGTAGGATTGGGATAAACTCTCTAAAAGTCTTATCTTTACCCAAACTGAAGTCCTCTCTCATTCTAGGACTCTTGTCCCTTATCCGCTTATCCCAGGTTCCGGTATCTTCACAGATAACCTCGGCCTAGCCGAGATGATCTCGGCGTCATGACCAGGACACGTGGCACCTCAGCTGGCATTTCGGTGACACCTCGGCCACGTGTTGTCATTTAAAAATTATGTCTCTACAACTGCCCTCTAGGTTCTATTACCTCGGCATCCTAAGGTGATGGAACCTATATCATTCCTTCCTATAATCATGACCTCGGTTTAACTTCAACTTGTAAATTTTTAAATTTCAATAAGTGTTAAACATGTCCTTGGTTTAACTTCAACCTGTAAATTTTTAAAATTTCAACAAGTATTAAACATGTCATCGGTTTAACTTCAACTTATAAATTTTTAAAATTTCGACAAGTATTAAACCAACCTTAGCTTGTAAATTCCAACTCCCAAGTATCATTCTCCAGCCCTCTCTTTATGTCCGTTGTTGGCCATCTATTCTTATTTCTTTCCCACAGACGGCGCCAAATTGTGTGTGTCAATTTCTGACCACACTACCAATCAAGCACTCAATTGAAGAACACTGGCAGAATAGATTAAGCCCGAATGACCTACCACAAAAAGAAGAGATTTCGGCGGTGGTTCGTCCACCTGGGGGCACTCCGATAATCAAGTCAGTTATCTCTCAAAGATAGCAAAAGTGTTTAACTCACTATTCAGAGCATAAAAAGCATATCTTAGACCCATGGGGGTGCCACTCGTTTATATCCAACACTTACCTAATCCTAATAGAAGCCTAACTTCAATGGACTTAGAATTACTGCTAATCTTGGACTTTCAGTAGGATTGGGATAAGCTCTCTAAAAGTTTTATATCTATCCAAACTAAAGTCCTCTCTTATTCTAGGACTCTTGTCCTTTATCCGCTTATCCCGAATTCCGGTATCTTTGCAGATAACCTCGGCCTAGTCGAGATCTCGGCTACATGACCAGGACACGTGGCACCTCGGCTGGCACTCCGGTGACACCTCGGCCACGTGTTGTCATTCAAAAATTATGTCTCCACAACTGTCCCCTAGGTTCTATTACCTCGGCATCCTGAGGTGATGGAACCTATATCATTCCTTCATTTAATCATAACCCCGGTTTAACTTCAGCTTGTAAATTTTTCTTAAAATTTCAACAAGTGTTAAACATGATATTGGTTTAACTTTAACTTATAAATTTTTCATAAATTTCAACAAGAGTTAAACATGATCTCGGTTTAACTTCAATTTGTAAAATTTTAAAATTTCAACAAGTGTTAAACATGATCTCGGTTTAACTTCAATTTGTAAAATTTTAAAATTTCAACAAGTGTTAAACATGACCTTGGTTTAACTTCAATTTGCAAATTTTTAAAATTTCAGCAAGTGTTAAACATGACATTGATTTAACTTCAACTTGTAAACTTTTAAAATTTCAACAAGTGTTAAACATGTTCTCGATTTAACTTCAACTTGTAAATTTTTCTTAAAACTTCAACAAGTGTTAAACATGTCTTCGGTTAAACTTCAACTTACAAATTTTCCTTAAAATTTCAACAAGTGTTAACCATGACTTCGGTTTAACTTCAACTTGTAAATTTTTAAAATTTCAACAAGTGTTAAACATGACATCGGTTTAACTTCAACTTATACATTTTTAAAATTTCAATAAGTGTTAAACATGACATCGGTTTAACTTCAACTTGTAAATTTTTAAAATTTCAACAAGTGTTAAACATGACATTGGTTTAACTTCAACTTATAAATTTTTAAAATTTCAACAAGGGTTAAACATGACATCGGTTTAATTTCAACTTGTAAATTTTTCTTAAAATTTCAACAAGTGTTAAACCAACCTTATCTTGTAAATTTCAACTCCCAAGCATCATTCTCCAACCCTCTTTGATTCGACGTGTCTTCTAGGATTCTCCCCTCCTTGATTCTCCATGCTCGACCTCCCGTGAAGGCCGATGAGAATACCTCTTTGCCCCATCGTGCTGAGGGACTGCAGGAACTGTGTTCTACCCCCCTTTCTGGGCATCTTTCTTGGCCGCTAGAATCGGCGTATCTTGTAGTGGAAACGGTGGCTGCATGACGTTGTTCTGCATCATGAAATTAACGACCGTTTGCATGTCTGCCATTCCCTTCATCTCGTCGTCCCTCCGCAGGCATCTATCTTTCCATACCTAGAGGTCGTCCTTGTTATAATACTCGCTTCGATCCGATTTCTTCGGTATGTCGCCCTCCTGGCTGACGTCCTTTCCTCCATGATTCTTATCATGAGTCTCTTTGTTGCAGTTGTCTTTTTTGACGTCAAGGTCAATATGTTTCCCACTCTTAGTAGGGGTGTCATCTCCAACCATTGAAATATTAAAATAAGACAAATAAAAGTAAGATATTTTTGGATCTGACTTTTTGGTATGCCGTGATTTGAGGGATATTGTTCAGACTCTTGAAATTTATCATAATTCTGATTTCGATGATTTAAAATTCAAATTATTTATTTTATCAGATTTTTTTGTGTGGATATATCATACATATAAAAAATTAAATTAATTTAATAATTGTAATATATTTAATTTATAATATTTGTAAAATAGACAATAATTATATTTTTAAAAATATATTATTTATTTTTTATTAATAAAAGTAATAAATTAAATATTTAATAATTATTAGATCAATTTATATTTTTTAATAAATAATTTACATGAAAGATCCTTCAAAACAAACTAATTGAATTACTATCAAAATAAAACAGACATTAGATAGTTCCTCTAATTTAAATTAGAGACTGGTGAGAAACTCGCGGTATTTTTTTTGGGTAAGTAGGAACCGTGGTATTAGTTTAGAGGATCACATGCAATGCGCGGTGGGTTAAATAGATCCCATTAGATTGTGATTCTGGCACTGTTTGGTAGAGCTGTAGGAAAGTAGTTATAGGTTATGCCTAAACAGTTTATAACTTATAATTATGAACATAACCTGATTTCTGTCTTATAAATTAAGCATCTCCTGCCCCACTCAAAGAACAAGCTGATTTCTGACTTCCAAAAAGCTATAAGTTATAAGTTATAAGCTAAACCAAACACATCAAAATAGTTTAAATTAAGCTGAAAGTTGAAATAAGTAGCTTTTAAGCTGCACCAAACAGACACTCTGTGTCCAATGGGAATCTATTCTCTAATACAGGATTGTTGTATCGGTAAGCATGGGAATCTATTCTCTAATACAGGATTGTTGTTTCGGTAAGCATAAGTAATGGTATAAACAATTCATTAGTAGCTGTTAATCTTGGGTAGTGCACGATTAACAAAAAAAAATATTTATTTATAGTAGCAAATATATGTGGGAATCAATTCATTTAATCAAGGAATATTTAGAGGTTGTTTGGGGTGTCTTAAATAAGTGTATTTTTTGTCTTTTTAGATTAAAAAATTGAGAAAAAAAAATGAATGTTTGAATTAATTTTTTGACTTTTTATGAAAAAAATGTGTATTAAAAAATTATATAAATAAGTGTATAAGGGAATGAAGTAATGATATAGGCCGTACGGCTCGAAGCAGCTTGACTGAGGGTGTGTAGGAGATTATTGGCTACTTTTTAGGCATTGTACTGGACAGTTTTGTTCGGCCCATGGAGGTCATCACGGGTCCCATTTTGATAATCTGAACCGTTTAATGTGTATAACTCATCGAGTACTATATGTCTATAAAAAATCACGTTGATCGGATATCGATAGTTATCTGATCAGATTTGTTTTTTTTCAATCATTAATTATAACACCATCCATTTGTTGTACATAACTGATTTGATCATAAAATTATCGATATCCGATCAATGTGATTTTTTATAAACATATTGTACTCGACGAGTTCTACACATTAACGGTTCAGATTATGAAAACAAGACCTGTGATAACCCCCACAAACTGAACAGCAGTGTGTGTGAAAATCACACCCAACCATTTCATTTTTGCAACAAACGCAGCACAGCAGTTGCACATACATTAATTCGAAGTTGTACTTTTTGTAGAAAATTAATTTTTTAATTTTTTTTTTATGAATAGTGATAACTTTTTAAATTTTTAAATAACTTTTTGACTTTTTAAATTTTTTAAACTATGTCAAACCAGCCCTTAGTAAGTTTGGTATTTGATGTAATATATTATTATACAACACATACATGTGGCTTTTTGAAAACTCAATGTTTGATTTAATCACCTAAGATTTGATTCATATAAAGGTCATTATATTAAATTATGGTAAATTCATTTTACCCTTTGTAGTTTGGAGTTCCAGTACTTTATTTGGGAAAGTTATTGGATATTCTTAAAGTATGTTCACGTAGTGTTTCAGGGTATTATGGTCGGTGGAAAAGGTGATGTTTATGTTTTTAGATTGGGTGATTGAAGAATATAAGAAGGTATGTTAAATGATGATTAGTGTAGAAGAATGGACATGTAGTGCTCCGAAAATATTCAAAAAATTTTCCCTTACCCCATATCATTCAAATATAACCAAAAAGCCCCTATGTGAATTTGGACTAAAGTGGTGTATTACACACACCATTTTTTAGAATTGTTTTTATTTTTTTATTTTTTGAAAAATTAGAATAAAATTAATATAACAAAAGAATAATTTTACCCCATTTTCTCCAAACCTAAAATTAGATTAATATGTTAATTAAATTAAAATAAAATATAATTAAACATTAATCTAAAATATAAAATATAATTAAGAATTGATTTAAAATATAATTGAATAAAATATAAAATAAACAATAATTAAGAATTGATCTAAAATATAATTAAATTAAAATTAGATTAACATGTTAGGAATTATAATAAATAATTAAATATTTAGGATTAATTATGATAAAAAATATAATTAAAGTAAAATTAGAATAAAAAGTTAAGAATTACAATAAATAATCATTCTCACAATTATCTATTCAACTACAAAAAAAGATGGAAAAGAAGGAGATTTTTTTTAAGGTCTCTGATATTAAAACTTTATAGTATAAAGAATATTTAATATTTTCATAATATCTAAGGTCCCTCAACATCGATCTCGAGAAAATTCGATTCAGAGAATTTCTTTAGACTTCCAGAGAAATTCTCTCAAGAATTTCTCTTGGACTTCCAAGAGAATTTATCTCTAGAGAAATTCTGAGAAGGCCAGAGAATTTCTTTGAGCTTAAATAAGAAAATTTCTCTGTCTTCCCAATCACGATATGCAATACACAAAATCGATTACTCAAATAAGCAACAACAACAACTAATATACATATATATATATATATATATTGAGATAGACTCACTGAAAGGAGAATTTCTCTGGGTTCAAACCCAAGAAATCCAGAGAAATTTGAAATTTCTTTGGTTTTGTTTACAAATTTCTCTGACTTTGTTTACAGAGAATTGATATCTGTATGCAAGGCTGCTAGATTTTCTTCTATTTCATCAACCTCCCCAAACCCTAACAATTCAATTCTTCAAAAAAACCAAAAAATCCAATTCAAATTCAACACCCAATTGCATGTTAGGGCTATTGAATCTGAAAAGTAACCAATAAAAAGATGGATATTCAACTATTGATCAACTAACCATTTCCGAAGCTCTGAATCAGTTGACTCTAAGGGTTGACTTGAATATATATATATATGGAAAAAGAGATTCGAAATGTTTGTGTTACTCTCTCTGTGTGATCTAGATCTTGAATCCTATGGAGATTTAATATCCTTGGTTTCACTCTCTATATCTATTTAGCTTGGATAAATTCCTCAATATACTGTGTACTTGCTTTATTATCTTCCTCTCTCTCTCTCTCTCTCTCTCTCTCTCTCTCTCTCTTACTTACTCTACTGCTAAGTCTACTCTCTCTGTATTGTTTAAAGGGCCATTGACTCCAGTCATTAATAAATAATAAGTAAGTGTGTATCACTTTTACCTAATCGAGCCAGCAAAGAACACACCTTATCCTTAGATTTGTGGGTGAAAGTTTCAGAGCTCAATTTGTTTGAACGTGGTGGTGTTGAGTAATGTTCGGAACTGAGAAAGAGAGATGAGCGAGATGTCAAAGGCAACAATAGAGAGGTGGCGACGACGAAAGATACAGTGAAAGAGATGAGAGAGAGAGAGAAGAGATGAGAAAGCAGCAGCAGTAGAGATGAAAGAGAGAGAGAGAGAGGGAGGAGGAGAATAGGAGATAGAATGAGAAAATAGGTGTTTGGGTGGGACTCATTTCGGGTAAGTGAGATATATTGGGCGGTGAGGGACCTTAGATATTATAAAATAATATTATGGATCTTTCTCATTGTTAAAAATGAAAGAGAGACCTTAGACTAATTTTTTCAAAAATATAATGTGTTCGGCTATTATAATCATTCACCCAAAAAAGAGGCTATTATAATCATTTTACATCTACAATTAACAGTGTTAATAGTAGAATCTAAGTCCAAAACCACATGGAGGCATATGGCTATTTTTAAAAGATAAGGGAGTAAAGTGCAATCATGTCATATCACATGAAGGTAAGATGAATTTTACCTATCAAATTATTTACAACCTTTTAATAATCATTTCAATTTAGAATATTAATAAAATTTAGGGGTGAGCAACGGATTTATCGATTTGCCAAAACCGAATCGAGCCGAATCGAACTGATCTGCCGCATTTTGGACAGATGTGTGATGACGAGCAGACGGCTACAGATTGATTTTTTTAATCTGCCTAATTTTGGACGGATGACGGATTTAAGGTTCCTTTGGCCGCAACCGAACCACAAACCGCGAGCACTCCTAGTAATTTGTAAGACTTTGTGTTTTCAATTGAAAAAGTGTTTAAATATTCTTTTGAAAAAGAGTTTTCAAATTGAATATATTTTTTGAATTGAAAAAAATAAATGTATTATTTATCTATATTTTTTGGTTTTTAGATCTAACTCTAAAAATAATAAATAAAAAGATAATATATGCTGGTTGGTTTTTGTTTTCAAAAACAGGTATAGATGCAACAATATAGAGACGTACAAGCTCTACTATTGCTCTATTCATGGTTTTGGTAGTTTGAATTGTTTTTATATTTTAAGAACCACGGATTGTAATGCTTTATGTAGATGATACATGCTGTAAATGTAATATGTGGATGAGGCAAGTAGTGGTTGTAATATTCTAAAGTTTCAAACTTTATTTCTTTGGATGAGGCATGTAGTGATTGTAATACTTTTTTAAGTCATTGACTGTAATGCTTTACTTTTTATTTTTATTTTTTAAAGGAAATGCACAAGTTGAATTATGTTGAAAATTTATAAAATTTTAAACCGCCAAACCGATTCGCATCCATCCATCAATCCGCTGAATCCACATTCGCTGGATTGGCAGATGGATGTGGATTGATTTTCTCGAATCCGCCAATCTAGAGGACGTATGCGAATTGATTTTCTCCAATCCGCCAATTTAGAGGATGGATGACGGATTGGAGGTTTCGTGGCCGCAACCGACCCACGCCTACCCCTAATAAAATTCAATTGTATAATAAATATGGTTGTTTATCAAATGTTTTAATTTAAACTCTAGAAAAATCTATATAGAAAAATATGCATCTATATATACATATTCTTTTCTTTTATTATTTGTTATTTTTCTGATTTATTTTATAACTAAAGAAAAATGATTTTTCCCCTGATTTTGAGCCCCCCGAATAGCCTGAAAGAGAAAGAGAAAGAGTAAGAGAGAAAGAGAGGAGGGAATGGAGAGAGAGAGAAAGAGAGGGCCTCTTCTCCGCCTCCACCGCCGCCAATCGATCGCAGATTGACTGGCCAATCGTCGCAGCAGCTCGTCGCAGCCCCGCCGCAGCTCGTTGCAGTTCTTCTTCTTCTTCTTCTTCTTCCTTCTCTTCTTCCCGGTTGATGTTGCCCCCCTCCAGTTCTTCTTCTTCCTTCTTCTTTCTCCTTTTTCTTTTCTGATTGAAAAAAAAAAAATTCAAAACGACGAAACGACGTCGTTTTTGAATTCGGGGGGGTTCGGGGGCCTCTCTTTCGAGCTGTCAATCACTTCTGATAACTAAATAATATAAAAATTAATATGAATATCATATATGTTACCCAAAAGACAACCTAAGAGGGAGTGAATTAGGTTTTTACAATTAAAAATTAATAAAACCCTAATAAAAATTATGACTAGCATAATAGATAAATATAATTAATGAAATAAAAATAATTAAAATAAGTGTTCTAACAACTATGTCAGTTAATGATTTTAGCACAGTGAAAATGTGAAATATAGCTACAACAATTTAAATAAAATAAAGAGATAAGGGAGAGAGAGATAAACAAATTTATAGTAGTTCGGTTTCAACTCGGCTTACGTCCACTCCTCAAGCTTCACTTGAGATTTTCCACTATACTCTAACTTCACGGGGGTGCTAGCAACCTCTTTACAAATGGAGCAATACTCCACGGATTTTACACAGATTTTCTAAGTCAAGAACACTGAGTGTACTATACTCTTACAAGGTTGAAAAGAATGTGTTTTTGTTTTTACAGAAAGCTACAAGAATTATCTCTCAAAGATAGATATAAAAATGAAACTTGAGTTTTTCTGTAAACCTCACACAGGAAAGATGGGTTTAAAGCTATACATCTCAGTGTATAATTTTCTTAAAGAGGATGTAAGCAAAAATTGAAGAACACTTCTCAGAGAATTTTTCAAAGAATAGAAGTGAGTGATTATAGATCAAAGTATATTTTCTGTTTTTTTTTTGTAACTTGTTTACATTAGAGGCTTTGGTATATATAATGAAACTTATAGCTATTTATAGCCGTTGTATTCATTTGAATTTATAACCGCTTATAGCCGTTGTATTCATTTGAATATTGTCCACTCCACCATTATTAATTTGAATATCTTTCACTTGAACCTTTTGAACTGCTGTTGTGCTGGGTTGTTTGAACCTCTATTTTGGGCTGTTTGAACTCCTGATTTAATCAAATATTAAATACATTCTAACAACATTTAGGGTAAAGGTTTAGGTGAGAAATAATGGGACAAAATAAATTTTGATTCTATTTTTCTCTTTCAAATAAATTAAACATAATTAAATAAATCATCAAAATAAATTTTGATTCTATTTTTTTCTTCCAAATAAATTAAAACTAATTAAATAAATCATCAAAATAAATTGTGATTCTTTTTTTCTCTTCCAAATAAATTAAAATATAATTAAACAAATCATCAAAATAAATAAGTCTAATAATCTCCCCCTTTTTTATGATGGCACACAATGATGTTTTGATTTGATTTGGGAGTAAGAAAGGCTTCCCCTTAAGTCATGCTCCCTGAATTCATTTATAAATAAATAGGTTAGCACATGTGTAATAAATAAGTTTTAATTAGAGAGATGATATAAGACTAAGATATCAAACTATAAATACATAATCATCAGATTAGTTTTCAAATGATACCATAATTTGAAAATAATACCATAATATATAACGTCATAACAAAATAATACCATAATACATAACATCATAACAAAATAATACCATAATACATAACATCATATAATTTTTCCCCCTGTGACATTATCAAAAGGAAATCATAAGTCAGAGTCTGGAGGAGAAGGAGGAAAATGATAGTGATAAATGTCATCTATACCATTCAAAACATATATATACATATATATACGATTTGCGTGACTCTCTCTTTTCTGTCGAAAATCGCATCGGATATGCATCCTCGCTTTTGCATCAGCCAACCAACAAATGCAAGAAGGGTCAATCAGCTGCCTCGGTTCTCTCTCCCTATTGTCTTCTTCTCCTCCGTCTTCTTCTTAATCACTCTCTTCTCCTTCCTCATTCGCTTCCATCCCTTTCTTCTTCTGCGTGAGAAAGATAGAACAGAGAGATTGAGCAGAGTAGAAAGGCTGCCAAAAACGACCCTCCTTTTGATTACATCTCTCTCTCCTATTACATGGCCTCGTCCCATCCCCTTATTCTCTTTCCGGACCTGAATGATCCTGTAAGCACTGCTAGGCTGAGTGCCCCAGTTCCTACTCTTTCTAACCTTCCTATGATGTCGATTGAGTAAATAATGGTAGCTTAATCAGACATTGAAGCCAATCATTTCACACTGACGTCCTGTATGGATACGGTGGCTGCAAT